GCCAGCCTTTCTTTCTCACCTGTGACGTGGAGGGGGCTCTGGCAGGATTATCAGTGATGCCCATCAACCCCCACACACATTTGCCGGGCTGTTAAGTCATCGTGTGATGATCAGAGAGGAGCGACGCTGAGTGAGGAAGAAGACAGGCCCCAGGCCCGACCACTGACATTTGATTTCTGGCCCGGCTGAGTCCCCGAGCACCCTGGGCCTCAGTTTCCTCATTTGTAATACAAATGGTGTTGAGGGGGCCTGGCCTTACAGGAATGTAAGACACCAAAGTGGGAGGGCACACAGCGAATCACGCAGGGCTGGCATGTCGCAGGTGCCCCCAGGCCGCCATGGGAGCCTGTGCAGGAAGGAGGGCAGGGGGCCGATCTGAGTCAAGGTGACTCTGGAGGGGGACGTCTGAGGGAGGGGTGTCCCCCCCAGCCTGCTGAGCTCCGTGTCCCTTGCTACCCACAGGCTTCCTCATCTTCCTCTGGTACTGGTCCATGCGGCTGCAGGCCCAGGGCGGGCCCTCCCCTCTGAGGAGCAGCTCGGACGGCACCAAGCTCCCCATCACCTCGGGCAGCACCTCGTCCAGCTGCATCTAGGCCAGCGGCCGTCCACCCAGTGTGAGGGAGCAGAGACTCGGGCTCTCCTCACCGCTGCCTGCGGCCCCTGCCACTGGGCCTGGCTGTCGGCAGGTCAGCCGGAGACTTGAGAAGGAAGGCCCCCGGGCCTCAGAGGGCTGGAGCTGTTGCTACGGCAGCCAGACTCCCAGGCTGGGCCTTATGCATTGGACTGAGGACCACTCGGCTCTTAGGCTCAGCTCACAAGGGGCTCTGGAGTGGTGGGACCATCTTCTTGGCCATCCCAACCTGGGGCTGAAGGCCAGTCTTCACTTACCAGCACTGGGCTTAGCCCTGGTGGCTGGGGGCTGGGATCCCGCAGGCCCCAGAGTCTGGTCATGGACCTTGGAGACCTGGCAGCATCCCTGGTCCCGCACCCTCACCTGGGACAGAAATGTGCCACAGCTATTCTGATTCTGGTGACCACCATGAGCATACTTTGCAGCCCCTGACATTTTAACCCAAGGGTAGCACCCAGGGCAAAAGGGGTTGGGGCCAAGCTTTGGACCCCTGGAGAAGGAGAGCCCCTCGCCATGCCCAGCACACAGCAGCAGCTGCCCTACCTCTGAGCCCAGCTCACCTCTTCCACTTCTCTCCCCTTTCACAGCCTGGGGTTGCCAGTTCCAATGGGGTATTTTGGGTCGTGGTTCCCAAGAGCTGCCTGGTGCCTGCTGTAAACCTTTGTCTACTGCAAGGGCCTTTGCTGGCCCCTGACTCAGGCTTAGTATGTATGTTCTGGGCTAGGCCCCTTTGTCCGTCTGGGCCTCGCTATAAGCTGTACCACCCTTGCTCACCACTGCCAAGCCCATACATCGCAGGGGACCTCAGCCTCTCCCATCGGCCTCTGGTGGCAAGAACTGTGGCGAGTAGCAGACTATCTTTTCCTACCCCCGCACTCTGAAGACTGAGACATATCTCCCCTGGCCTGGAGCCCATCACAGTTAATTCTGCTGAACACAGATGGCCAGGCCTGCCACTCCCACTGCGAACTTTCAGTCTAGTGCGTGAGGCATGTGCAAGATAGGACCTCCTGGAGCTGTGGCCATTGGGTTGAGGAAGCCATCCTCCTGGCTGGAAATCCAGGAAGACTTCCTGTAGGAAGAAGCATTTGATCTGGACCTCAGCCTTAAAGATGGGGAGGATTTTCTTTTTAACTACTAATTCTTTTGTCTTTGGTATTAAAAACAAGTACATGTTCATTGTAGAGAATTTGAAAACTGTAGAAGAGTGTAAAGAAGAGAATAAAAATCAGCTGTTGTCATCACCAAACCAATGTAACTGTTTTTGGATCATTACGTTCTGAATTTTCTTCTCTGCATCTATGAAGGGTTACTAATTAGAAAACATGAATGAGAGAAGAAGACCATGTGTGGGGAAAAAAATCTGCTGGAAACTTTGTTGGGACAAGGGGGAGAATAAAGGGCAACTTGGTGTCTGTGTTGGGGAGGTAGTAGGGAGCGGTGGGGTCTGAGGTCTGCTGGAAATGGTACACCCACACTGTGGGAGCAGCTGCTACTCACCTGCAGCCAGTCACTGCCTGCCTTGTAAGGGTGAGGGCCCGTGTAGCCAGACCACCTGCCTTTGATGAGAAACGAGAAATGCCCATTGGGCTGGTGTCAAATCCCTTGATTTTAACACTGGATCATCCCAAATATTTTGCTGGCCCAAGAAATCCCACTCAAGGGCTGAATTCAGCTCTTGGCTGGGCAGGTGACGGATGTAACCAGTTTCTTGCCCGTGTGAGGTAGGTGGGCTGCGAGAAGTCTTGTCCCATCATGGCCCTCAGCCGTATTGGGTCAGATCTCCCCTCCTCACCCTGTGACATGGGCGAGGCAGATCACACACACTCTGTCCGCCTTGAATGACGCGAGCAGACGTGTTTGGTCACTGCTATTTGTGTCCGGGTCTCCAGGGCCAGTGCAGGCCCCCACAGCACACACTGGCGCTTTCAGCCCCCCAGGGATCCTGGCCGGGGAGGAGGCATGGGTCTCTGGGGCCGGGGGGAGGGTGCAAAGCCACCTTGGCAGCCAACGGCCGACCGGCAGTGCCCCGGCTGGGTGTGAACATGGGAGCTTTGGTGACCTGCGTCTGGCCTTTCTCTCAGCCTTTTCTTCCACTCCCGCCTCTTCCGCTGGCCTCTGCCTCCACCTCCCTCCAGCTCCTGAGGACTGAGGGCGGCCAGGGGGATGGCGGCCAGCTCCCCTCCCACAGACTCTTGGTCTCCCCCGAGGGCCTCCTGGGGGCCCTGTCATTTGGGTAGAACTGAGAGGGGCACCTCCCCCCACCCCCAGAGGGAAGGCAGTGACCCAGCCCCCCACCCTGGGACACAGTACTCCCTTCAGATCAATTCTCTTGAAGAATTCAAAGAACCCTCTTGAACATCTCATTTCTGTTTTCAAGGACATCTCAGATAGAGGAGAGGAGGGTCCTGGGTTGCATTTCTCGTGACAGGCACTGGATGCGCCACCTGACAGCTCTGTGGCTCTCCTTGACTGACCTTGGTGGCTCTTATCATGCACTCCCCTGGGCTCTGGGACTTCAGACAATGGGCCATTGTTCCCTCCAGGACATGACCAGGTTTGCGTCTAGAAATACCCCTTTGGGGTGGGGACCACGTTGGAGCAGCTGGAGGGGTGAATGTTGGGGGGGGTCTGTGCAGAGAATAGGAGGCCCTGCCCCTGGAGACCACCCCCAGGAGGGCCCCTGGAGCCCCTTAGACAGGGTGGGAGGTGGCTGACAGGGAAGCTATAGTCTGTGTGCTATGAGATTCGAGGGTCCCAAGGCTCTGTAAATGGCTCCAGGCTAGTCCATGAATTCTAAAAAAGATGGTCCCCCATGGCCCTCTCTGACCCTCCCTTGCCACATGTCCTGTCTTCTGCATACCTGCTCCTTCCCAGGTATGCAGAACACTCCAGGACTCAGGTCTCCCTCTCAGGGCCCGGGTGTCAGGTCAGGTCTGCAGTGGTGGGCTTAGTGGTTGACCATCCATGGAGCCCCTGTCCGCTGTCCAGGGCGTGGGGGTTGGGGAGGCTGACGGACTGCTGGGTTGGGAGGAGGGACAGGCTCAGTGGTTCCCGCCTGTCATTTCAGCCTTCCCTGCCGAGGCCTGCGGCCCCATGCTGGATTCCTGCCTGCCACCCACAGCCATGAGTGACCCCGACATTCCCTCCCTAGCCTTCCTGCAGCCCCGACCCAGCAGGGGACTGAGCACAGTCCAGACGCTGTGTGGAAAGAAGTGGACATAGAGGCCAGTCAGGGCTGGGTGGGTCCACAGGTGGCCCCCGAAGCAGAGCAGGTCTTGCTCCGGCCCTGTGAGCCGGAGGAGGTTACCGGTGACATACACCTTCTCGGCAGGGGGTCCCCTTTACCTCTCACCAAAGCAGCGCTGGAACCCTGCCCAGGGCCCTGGCCTCATCCATGGCTTCCTTGGGCCACTGAAGCTGAGCCTCAGTGGCCAGCCCCTCCCTTCCTTCACACCACACTCCATGAGTATTTGCTGCCCCGACTTCCTGCCTGGGCCACCACGATGACGATGTCACACATGATAATCACAAAAGGATGGCGGTGATAGTGGCCGTGCAAACGGACGCAGCGGTTCCACGGGTGTCCTCTCACTGGCTCTTCGTGTGCTTCTCGAGAGGCTGGGGGTCACGGACAGCTCAGGGGAGTTCCTCCAGCCAGGACAGACGTCAGCCCCCGCCTGACCGACCCCCAGAGCTCATGCTCTTGTCCCCATCCCCCTCCCATCCTGCCTCTCGTGTTCTCCAGCCTAGGGGGGCAGGGACAGGGCCCTGGGCCTGGCTCCTTCCCTTCCCCCAGGTCCCCAGCAGGCATGGATTTGAGCCTGGCCTTGTTCAAACCGCAGGTGTGAGCAAGGGGCCTAGTACGTCATCCACATCTTCATCCTCATCCCTATAGCCGGGCTGTGTGCTGGCGTGGAATGCGTCTGCTCACACTCTGAGCCGGTCCTGGGGGGCAGCCCATGGTGGTGTGCGTTCCAGAGGAGGAAGCAGGTTCAGAGGGGCCCCCACTCGTGGGAGGAAGGTCTGAGCGAGGCGTGTCTGACCCCAAAGCCTGTGCTCATCACTGCTGCCCAGCGGTCCGCCCCCGCCTCTGCGCACTGTACAGAGGCCCCTGGGGCTGGAGGGCCCCAGCCCCACCACACCCTCCTGGGCGGGGCCTAGAGCAGCGTCCCTGTGTGGGTCCAGCAGCTCCCGCCAAGTCTGGCTCCCTCTGCAGGGGCCACAGGATGGGGTGAGGCAGGAGAACAGCCCAGTCCCCACACTTTCACAACCCACCCGATGGCGCCATGGAGCAGGAAGGGTTACAAAGAGGCCACAGGAAGCTATGACGCTGCAGCGGAGGGTGGGTACAGGAGGGCCCCGCAGATCCTGGGACCAGAGGACAGCTGCAGCCACCGGGCTCCCGCCAGTGTGGGCAGGGCTGGCCCAGGATGGGGACCCCCAGGGCCCTGGGGGTCTGGCTTCTCCTGCTCCTTCTGCTCTTGGCCTCAGGTGAGCAACTGGCCCCTTATCCCCTCCTGCCAAGCCTGGGAAGCCCAGTAACAGGGACAAGGATGGTGTGGAACAGTGTGTCAAGCTCATGTTCACTGGGGGCCACATGAGCCTCACAGTTGCCTTCAAAAGGCCAAATGTAATTTTAGGACTGTATAAATGTAACTATTCCTTAACTAGGGGCAAGGAGCTTGGTGCTGCTGCCAGGTAAAAACAAGGTGCTTGGCTAGATTAAACAAGGTGGAGGCCGGATTTGGCCCGTGGGCTTTGTGTTTGCCACCTGTGCTATAAAGAGCAGGTGTGTCTCAGCCTATCCTCCAAGGAGCCCACCCTGAAGGTCTGAGAGCCTTCTCTAACCTTGTCCTTGAGTTTGATGTTAGACTTTGGCCCACACAGGCCTCAGAGCCCCTTTGCTTGCCCACACTGCCCTGGAGATGGAGGGAGTGTAGAAAGCGCTCTCCGCTCCCAGACCTGGGCTGTGTCTCCCTGGCAGGCCTGGCTCAGGGACCCAGGGAGGCTCTGGACAAGCTCTTCCCCTGCTGGCCTCTGAGCTGCTGGGGAAGGGGCTGGGCCACCCTGCAGGCTGAGGCCAGCAGGGCTTGCAGGGCCCTCCACCACCCACACCACCCACCGGCTCCTTCTCCCTGTCCCCACAAGGGCCCCACAGTCCTCAGTCACCCAAGCCGGGAACCAGACTCTTCTGCCTGCTTTGGTATTAGCTTTACACATGTGTGGCCATTCTCCAGGGGCAGATGGAGGACCCCAGGACTTGTCCTTGCTGTCCATCCCTTGGGGGGGTGCTCTCTGCTCACTACTGTCATCTCAGTGCCTTGTCAGCTCCTCAGTGACTGGCCCCCATGTGTCTGTTCACAGTGGGTAGTGTAGCTTTGGGAACACGGGCTGACTGCTCTGGGCTTCAAAGAATTCTCTTCTTTTCAAATATGGGGAGATTCAGTGAAATGCAAAATTTAGCTCCTGGCTCAAATAAAGGTGAAAAATGACAGCACTGTCCTTTTGGTGGCTGGGGAGGTGCCAAGCAGGCTGGCAGGCCACACTTGATGGATTAATCAACTTGATAACCAAGGGTGGCTGTCCCACGGTCTCTCAGGGCATCCTAAGGACCCTGGGCCCTTCGCAAAAGCTGTAATCCGCTGGCCGGGCCTCCAAGGCTGCTCCTAGTGGCCGAGTGTACGCTGTGGTGATGTGAGTGGTCTGTCCGGTTCAGGCAAAGCACCAGCCTTGCAATGGTGTAAGGAGCCTCGGGAGGTTTATATCTAGAGGTCAGACTCCTTTCTTTGTGTGTATTTATGGGTCAGTCACCCATTTGCCCATTCATTCATTCATTCATTCATGAAGTTCTGGTGGTGACCTCTGTGCGGTGCCAGGCCCTGCACTGGTACAGCGTGTGGCCCCTGCCCTCAGTGGGCTCACAGTCTAGCAGTGACCAGGGGGCTTCGGAGGGGTCAGGACCATGATGGGGACCCAGTAGGAAGCAGACACTCTCTAATAAAAAGACACTTTACAAAGGTGTACGAAGGGGTAGCGGGACCACGAAGGGGGATGCAGGCCAGGGAAGCTGTGCGGGCAGGAGGGAGAAGCAGGCCCCTGGTACGGAGCCATGGGGAGGGGCTGTAGGGGCAAGAGGAGCGGCAAGCACCGCCCTGCCCTCTGACCTCCAGCCTGCTCCCCATCTGAATCTAGACTGAGGTGGTCCTCCGAGGCCAGCCTCTGGGACAGAGCGGACTAGAGAAGGGGTCATCTGCAGGGGGGAAGCGGCACCCTCCACGCACTGGCCTGCGCCAGAGGCTCCCTGTCCGGGCTGTGTGCTTCTGGTGCCTTCCAGAAACAGTCACAAAAACGGTATTTGGTGACCTTTCTCAGCACTAGACGCTTGTCAACAGCTTCCCAGACGTGACAGCGCTAGAGTTGACAGCAGGCCAGGAGGGAGGCTGTGTCACAGCACTGGTGCCTGACCCCTGGGCCACACTGCTGGGCTCACTGACGTGAAAACGGGATCTCCCCTCCAGGCCCCCAGTTTCCTTCCCCCACTTCCTCCCCTGCTTTTCCCTCCCTGCCCCCCCTCCCCGCCCCCCTCATTCTTTCTCTTTTCCTCTCTTTCTCTTCCTCTTTTGTTTAAAAAGCAAATGTGGATCAAATTATACATACACTCCTCTATCATGTGTTTTTCTCCATTAAACAATGTACTGTGAGTATCTTTATAACCTAACAGAAATTTAAAGTTTCTTTATAAGCTACTTACGGCATCCATGCACATGAATCTCTATCTGGTCATAGAAATCCACTCTAAAATGTTATTTTTTTACTGTGCATTTACTCTAACCTGGACCTGCCATTATCTTTACCACGTATTTTATTTTTGTCTTTAAAATAAACTATTTTTTTTATTGTGAGAGTAATATTGTGTGGGATTTAAGAGAAAACATCAAACACTGGAGAAGGGTATAGAAAATGAAAGGCCCATGTCTCTTGGCTGCCTCAGCCTGGCACTGCACCCCTCAAAGGTAGCCCCCCACCCTGATAGCTCCTGGCCTGCCAGAGGTGAAAAGGCACAGACTGTTAAGACCCCCTTCACCATGGATAACGGATTTGACGAAGTTGCTCACACAAACTGACATACCAATGGACGCTCAACCTCCTCCTTCAATGGAAACGAAGTTCAGGTTCACCCTCCAGACTGGCAAAGATGCGAATGTTTGGTAAAGTCTGAGATTCTGAGCATGTGGGTGAGTCTCTCTCGGTCACTTTGGGCGTCGGTGAAAGTTGCCCCCCTTCCAGAAGGAACTTCAGTATTAGCTAGCAATCTTTAAAAGCACGTATTTTGACACAGAAATTCTGACGCTAGGGATGTATCCTGTGACCAAGGTGGAAGCAACTGTGTTCAATAGCCATAAAGTTCAGCCACAACTCTAAACACTCACCAACAGAGGTCAGATTCAGTAAGTGTTTGAACACCCGTATAATGGAAGAGTGTGCAAATATACAAAGAATGCAGTGAGTCAGTATGTGCTGATGTTGAAAGCTCTTCAAGGGCTATTGCGAAGGGATTCCCTCCATGTAAGTTTTTAAATGATTTAGTACAAACATGTGCACAGAAAACTTCTGGAAGCTGGCGCAATAAACTGTCATCATTGGTAAACTCCAGAGAGTAACTTGGGATCCGTAGGACTGTTACTTTTCATTGTGTGTCTTTGGACACAATTTAATTTTTTTAACTCTCTGAATGTAATACTTCTGTTCATAAATAGATAAATACATAGACGCCCTCATTCACCCCATGTAAATATATAAAGATACAAATAGTTTTACAAGGAATTTCTCACCTCCTGTAATAAACACTGCTGGCTCTTTGAACAGCCACAGTGAGCTATGTCCTTTATGGCTATGACCTCTAATCGTCCCCCAAACTTGCAAATGACGCATCATTAGCCTCATTTGGCTGATGGGAAGATCGAGCCTCACAGAGTTGAAGTAACTTGCCTGAAGTCACACAGCTCATAAGCAGCCCAAAGCTTCCTCTTCATCCTCTGTACCAGGTGAAGGGGAACTGACCTGGAAGTCACAAAAGCTGGTCTGTAGTCCTGGAGCCATCTCCAACTAGCTGGTGACCTTGTTTATGTCACTATGTTCCAGGGGCCTCAGCTTGCCGTGTTCTCTACTCACCTCAGAAGGTCATGTGAGGTCGTGTGTGATGGGAATGTGGGAAGACTATACATCCAAGAGTTACACCAGGAGGCCCCAGTTGCAAGGGTTTTGGAAAGTCCAATGTAAAACAACTGCAAAAAAGCCAGGCAGACTCCTTGGAGGAGGTGGTAGAGGTTACTACCACTAACATATCAAACCTTTTATCTGCAGAGCCATATGCCCAAGCCCTTCATATGCTTTTTCTCCAAAGCATCCCACTGGCCCTGCAAGATGGAAGGTAGTATCTCCTTTCACCTTGAACCCAAGGCCCAGGGAAGGTATGAGTCCAGCTCAAGTGCACAGCGTTAGGGTGAATGGACCGGAGCTGGAATTCTAGTCTGCACCACTGGACTCTGGAGCCATTGCTGCCCCTCCCCACCCAGCCCATTCACACTCTGCTTCCCTCCCTCAGGTGAGGAAAATTTCACAAGCACCCCTGCATCAAGAAGCCCCCACTCCGAGGACTCAAGGAACGTCTGCCTGGGGCTCATCAATAAGGACCATTACGAAACCTTCTATCTCGAGAACACTGCCAAGTGCTTCACAAAGTGTGAGCGGTCGAGCAATGAATCCTGTGATCTGGGAAATCTGCAGAGGTAACCAGGCCCTCTGAGCTGGAGCAGGAATCTGGGGCTCCTGCCAGGGTGGGGAGGAAGGAGGGAATGGGGCTCTTTGCCCCCAGGCCCCCCAGAAACCACTGCTCCCATCTTATCTTTGCACCCTGTTGTTCGACCCCTTCTCCCCAACCCACCTGATGAGACCCCTCTGAGCCTGTGGATGCAGACATAAGCCAGCCCTGTGTCACCTGGGCCCTGGGGGTCACGGAGGGACACACATAGGCCCAGACGATGAGAGCTGAAGTCCCATCCATCCTTGCAGTATTGCCAGTCTCTGAGGTGACAGCCACCTAGTGTATGTAATGCGAGATCTCGCCGTGACTTTAGCTTGCTTTTCGCAAGGGACTAATGATGCTGAGCATCTTTTTCTGTGCTCCTTAGGCATGTGTGTGTTTTCTTTGGTAAAATAACTATTCAAATTTTTCCCTCCCTTTTTAAAAAAATTGGGCTATCTTCTTCTTACTGAGTTTTAGGAACTTAGTATATATGCAAGTTTTTAAAAATCAGATGCATGACTTGTGAATATTTTCTCCCAGTGTATGTCTTGTCTTCTTATTTTTCTCATGATATCTTTTGAAGATCAACACATTTAATTTCAATGAAGTTCAATAGAAATTTGTGTGTGTATTTGATATCATATCAAGTCAAAGGAATTTCATCTAGCCCAAGGTTACAAAGATTTTCTCCCATTTTTTCCCACAAATAAATGGTTTTAGCTCTCGTAATTAGGTTATGCATTTGGAATTAGTTTTTTTGTGTGTGCACAATGAGAGATAAATGTCTAACTTTATATTGTTATTACTACTATTTTTGCATCTGGGTATCTAATTGTTTGGGCATTATTTGTTGAAAAGACTATACTTTCTCCATTGAGTTGCTTTGGGGAAGGCATCACATTGGAGAGCTAAGGGGAAGCTCCTGAAATGTCTTCTCCCAAGACAGTAAGCCAGAAACAAAACCATATCCCTGCCCCCAGGAGAGATTTGAAAGGCTCAGAGGTGGTGATACCTATCCCAACCAGGTGACTCACCAGAAGTCAGGTGGGCCTTGGAGAAGGACTGCGGACCATCCTGAACTTAATCAGGTGGAAGGTCCAATTGCAGCCACAGTCCCAGGTGAATGAATGTTTCCCTGAATAAATCAACACAGCCCCTGGTAATTGGTATGCACCTCTTACGGGGCTGAAACTTTTTTCTCCACACCCATTGTCAAGGACTACCAGAGCCCTTTATTTTTACTTGGCACAGCCAACGATATTCTGCCACAGTGTTTCACTGAGACCGTGTCAATCCTCCCCATCTGTCATGATACACTTCACAGAGACCTTACTAACTTTGACATTCTACAAAGCATCACCAGTTCGCTACATTGACAGCACCATGCTGATCTGATTTAGTCAGCAGAAAGGGGCAAGGACTTAAGATGCCTTATGAAGACATAAGGTGAACTAAGGGATGGGAGATAAACCCCACAAGAATTCAGGGGTCCCTCACCTCATTGAACTTTCTGGGCATTCAGATGTCTTGAGGGTATCAAGACATCCCCTCCAGGGTAGAAGACAAGTTGTTGGATGTCAGACCACTTACCATGAAGGAAAAAATAGGCACAAGGCAGAAAGACAGGTATTAACAAAAGAAATCTGAGCAGCTATAGTAATGTCAGACAAGGAAGATGATGCTTCGATGGGTGTCAGTGTTGTAATGAAAAAGTCTTTGGTATAGTTATGCTTTAGACTTTTTAAATATGTTATATCTCACGACTAAAATAATTTTTGAAAGTGGCTTGAAAACCAGATGAGAATATCTTTCTTTGAGAAAGTAAATTGGGTTGTTTTATAAGCCCCTCCCCAAAAAACTTAAGTGCATGAGGATATATATATATATATATATATATATATATATATATATATATATAATGAAATGCAGTTCACTATTTTACTTGATAACAATGATAACCACAATACTTGTTCGTTTAGTTTTTCGAAGGTAAATAAAAGCTAGACACAATTGAAGTAGCTCTGTCAATGGATTCGGACGAACTCTCCCCACTGTTTCTGGCTTGATGGTGTTCTAACTGCCTGCTCTACCCAAGCACATTTGCACATATTTGCATGGCTTACTCTCAGTATGGGGCAATATTTGTTTCTGTGGTTTCTTTAGAAGTTTTCCCCTTGATAACTGAGTGTTCAAAAACCATGTCAAAATAAAAGCCTCCCTCTGTCTCCCGGGCCAGCCCTCCATAGCTGTTCCTCTCCAACAGCCTTGATCTGACTGTATCTGCCTCCCACCCCCTCTTGCCTCTCATTGCTGTCTCAGCCTGTACCCCAGGCAGCAAGCAGATCTTAGGACCCCAGGTTTAGGTAAAGAAACCTGGAGTGCAGTTAGGTTTCAGTACCACGGAGAGCGCTATGAACGTACCTCGCCCTGATAGGGTAGCAGAAGCGAGGGAGCTGTGGTAAAATAAATGCCGATTAACTTTTGTGTTCTGTGTGGTTTCCAGAACAGCTCAGTTCCCATAAGTCGGTTTCCATATATCTCATTCTCTAAAGACTGAATCCCCAGTACACAGTCAGCACTCAAGAAATGCTATGACATGCTCACTCACCCGACACAATTATCGTCCCACAGTTTAAAACACTCAGGAGATTCTCCGAAGATGTACAAAGACCAATGAGCATATAAAAACACGCTCAAGATCATTACACATTAGGGAAGTGCACGCTCAAACCACAATGAGATACCACTTTGTACCCGCTAGGATGGCACCAATTAAAAACATAATAAAAATAATTGTTGGCAAGCATACGAAGAAATTGAAACAGACATCGTTGGCAGGGAAGTAAAAGCGTGTAGCTGCTGTGGAAAACAGCTTGAGAGTTCCTTGAGAAGTTAAACATAGAATCACCATATGGCCCAGCAATTTCCCTCCTAGGTATATACCCAGAAGAATCCAACACAGGCCTTCAAAGAAAAGCTTGTATGTGATTGTTTGTAGCGGCCCTAGTCACAGTAGCCCAAACCTGGAAAGAACCCAAATGTCCATCCGTGGATAAATGGGTAAACAGAGTGTGATCTATCCACACAATGAAATATTATTCATCCGTAAAAAGGAATGAAATTCCTTTTACATGCTACAACATAGATGAACTTTGAAAACATTATGCTATGTAAAAGAAGCCAGGCAGAAAAAAACAAAAACAGATGCCACATAATTCCATTTATATGAAATATGCAGAATAGGCAAGTTTACAGAAACAGAAAGCATATTAGTGGTTGCCAGAGGCTAGGGGAAGAGGGAAGGAAGGGAGTGCTTAATGGGCACAAGGGTTTCCTTTGCAGGGGGGTGGATGGTGCACTTTAAAGTGGTTAAAAGGATCAATTTTATGTTATAAGAAGCTTATCACAAAAAGACAAATGCATGAACTACTCAGAGGAAGTTCTGGCTGGAATCCCTTGGGACAAGCTTGGACTGGTCCCCTGCCACCCCTTTTCTCCTTGGTGACCTCGGGGTCTTTCCTGTGATATTCTGGGTCACCCCTCCTGTCCCAAAGCCTGATGACCATCACCCATGACCTATTACCTCCTGTCACCCGGACTGGGGCCTAGGTGACCGGGCGATGCAGCTTTCAGAGCCCGACGTGGCTTCTGACCCCCGGCCTCTTGCAGATACTGGCTGGACTACGAGAACTACCTGGTGGAAGGGAGCCAGGAGAAGGCCATGAACTTGTCTTTTCTGAAGGCTTTGGTTAAGAACGTCAGCACCAACATCTCAGACGACCTGCACTTCTCTCTGACCCCCTCTCAGGTGAAGAGCTCCCCCCTCGACCCCCACCTGTGGCCTGCTTTCCTTGGGCATATTTTTCAGAATTTTCCAAATTCTGCGCTTGGTGCTTATCAAAATGTGTCTCTTTTGGTGGGGCTCTGCCACCTTGCTAGTCGTGGGTGCCAGTGAGTTCATGGATGCGTGGGTCCCGGTGACAGATTATCTCCGTTCCTAGTGTGAGACATTTGGGAGACACTGAATGGAGCATGAGGAGACTGAGTTCCAGCGCCTGGTGGTGCCCCTTCTCCCCGCCCCCCCACCCCGCACCAAGAGGGGAAATCCCTGGCGTCTTATCTGTAAAATGAGCTCTGTGACTCCTTCAAAGCCCAGAGCTGCTGTGAGCTTTTCCACCCAGGGGCTCATGTGAAGCAAGTGAAGCCAGGTGCAGAACTGGTGGTCCTGCCAAGGGCTGAATGGGCAGTCTCTGGATATACATTTGTCTGGGTTCAAATCCCAGCTCTGCCCCTTACTGGCTATTGTGATCTTGGGCAAATTACTGACATTTTCTTAGAGTCAGTTTCCCATATGTAAAGTGATGGTAGTGTTGCCCAAGTTCAAGATTATGGGGGGGGGGCAAATGAGATAATTCGCAGGGAGTGCTTGGCATGGCGAGGGTGCAGTCTCCTTCAGGAATAAAGCCGGGCGTGGAAGGGCAGGCAGTGGGTAGGAGGAACTTCTGGGTCTGTCTGGAGATGGGGAGATGGAGGATGGATAGAGTCCTTCTCAACCCTTTATCACGTCCTCCAATCAGCCGAGCCCTCTGCGCGGGGTGTGCCCTGGCTCCAGAAGTCACATGTCCTTTTGACAAGTGTGCAGACAGGGAAGGAGAAGGCCGGAGCCCTCAGCTCCAACCCTTAGCTACGCTGATCCTCTGCCCGCGGCATGCTCGTGAGGAAGCACCGGGTGGGATCGGGCGGGACCAGGTGGGGTCGGCTCCAGGGAACAGTGAGGTCGGAGAATGAACAAGACCTGCTTTGCATTTGCCAGTGAAAGGTATTTTAACATTTCGAGCATTCTTAGCTTTGGTCTTATTCTTTCCACTTATTCCTCAGTCAGAAGCCAGATGCGATCCCTGTAACGCCCTATAGGGCCACAGGGGTTGTCGGGACCCTGGCCACATGTGCACCACAGCTGACTCTCCCCCACACCTGCAAATGGAGTGTGTCCAGGTGTCCTCTCTTCGCAGCGTACTCCACCTCGCAGGTGGTCACACAGGCCCCTGGTCACCTCCATTCTCCATTCTGGGAAAACAGAGGCTCTGTGTGTGCTGGGACTTGTCCAGGGGCTCACGGCCTAGACAGGGCGGAGCTTGGGCTGTGTCCCCAGATGTTCTGCCTCTCAGAGCTAAGGTCCTCAGGTGCTGCCCCTCCACCCAGTGTGCCTCAGTTTCCCTTCCCTGTAGAGGAGTGGCAGCACCTGTGTTGGGGGCTGGAATCCTTGGGTAAGGAAGGAACCACTGGGTCTGTGGTTACAGATTCCAGGGCAGGTCCCAGAGGACAAGCACAAGTTCCCTGACAGAGTCCGGCTGCCCAGGAGCCTGTTCGCGTCCCTGCAGGGCAGCAGGTCGGAGGTCCGCTTGGCTGTGTCTGTCCTGGACATCGGTGCGGGGAATCTCTTCAAGGTGAGGAGAAGCTGGATGGCAGCCCAGGGAGGCCCTGAGGCTCACCAAGCAGTGCTTGAACTTGCTGTCCGTGGAGTCTTCCCTGAGGATGGGGAGGGCAGAGGGGACGAGTCTCTGGGGATGTTTTCCAAGCAGCCCACACTCATCTCAGATCCAGGTCTCTAGGACCCGTGTACTTCCGAAGTACACTGGTCCCACACACCTGTGCCCTTGGACTTGCCTGTGTATCCTAAGTGAGGCCCTGTCCCCCGTGGGTCCCTGTGCATGCACAAACATGCATATGCTTTCCTGTTCCTGGTTCACACACAATCCATGTGAGCAGGTGTACCCTTGCCAAGTGCCCCATGTGTGTCCCCAGAGACGTGTATCTGCTCACGCACAGACATGCGTATGCCTATGTGCTGGTGTGGCCAGGTGCTCACTCCGCCCCTGCCTCATGGGCACCCACTGCCCTGTATTGTGGGCTGATTTTTCTTCGGGCCCTGCACCCTCAGGTTAAGAGGGCAGAGGAGGCCCGGAGGCCAGTGAGGGAGACTGTAGGGTCTGCCCTGGTCCAGTCCGAGCAAAAGACCATAGGAAGCAGCAGGTGGGGTGACCTCTTGGTCCCCTGCTCCCCTGGTCTCAGACTTTGCCCTCCAGGCAAGGGCCACGGGTCCCGGAGGCCCCCAGGAGGCTTCTTCTGCAGCCGGGCCCCTCTCCTTTCCCTCCACAGGGCCCCAGGCTCAGCCTGGAGAATGATGGCAGTGTGTTGAACAACCGCCTGGTGGGCCTGAGAGTGGGCCGCACGCGTGTTACCGGGCTCGTGGAGCCTCTGGAGATCACCTTCTCCCACCAGCGGCTGCCTCCCGTGAGCCCCCTGGCCCCTCCCAGGCCTGGCAGTTACTCAGAGGCAGACGGACGGGTGGGCACCCCTGGGCACGTGAATAGACAAGCACAGGACTCCGCACCACCCACCCTCCACACCCACCCTGGAGAAGCCACTAGGGCCGTACACACCACTGTGCCCAGGGACACCCGTCCACCTGTGCACACGCACCCACATGCGCCCGGAGGTGTGCACAGACCTGGCATGCCCACATCTCACATGCACACCCTCAGCAGTACACACCCCCCTGCAGACAAGAACCGCCCCCCCCCCCCCGCCAACTGCCTGTCACCACACTCCCGGTCTCATGTGCTGACCAGCGGCCATCACATGGTGCAGCGGGTGTTCCCACGTGACCGAGGGGTGAGCCTCGCTCTCTCCCCAGTGCGCATGCGTGCTGACACCAGGGAGCACGCCGGCCTCCCGCCTCCCTCCGTGTGGCTCTCTCCCCTCTCCCAACCTGCCCTGTCTGTCCTCTGACTTCCATTCTCTGCTTTCAGAACATGACCCTCACCTGCGTATTCTGGGATGTGACTAAAGGTAGGGCTTGGCGGACCTTCTCTGGGTAGGACAGGTGGGAGGGCGTGGGCTCCCTCAGGGGTGCAAGGCCCCTCCCAGCTCTTCCCTCCTCTTCATTCCCTTCCCTTCCCCTCCTCTCTGGTCTCTTCCTTTTTTCCTCCCTCTCATTCCTTATAATCCCCTCCCCTCCTACCCAGGGTCAACGGGAGACTGGTCTTCCGAAGGCTGCTCCACAGAGTTCAGCACGGAGAGGACTGTCTGCCGCTGTGACCACCTGACCTTCTTTGCCCTGCTGCTGGTAACAGCCCACCCACCCTGATCCCAGCAGCTCAGGAGGTGCCCAGACTCCTGTCCCAGGGAGGATGGTTCCTGGCCTCCAACTGATGGGGTCCTGTCTGGGGGTATCGCCCACAGAGGCCAGTCTTGGACGAGGTCACGGTGCAGGCCCTCACAAAAATTTCCCAGGCTGGCTGCGGAGCCTCCATGGTTTTCCTGGCCTTCACCATCATCTTTGCTGTCCTGAGGTGGGTGACGCCTCCTTCTCCCTCCTGTCCTCAGAGGCAGCAGCGGGGCTGGGTCAAAGGCACCCTGATCGTGTAGAATCATACTGACATCCTCTCCAAACCTTAGTTTCCTCATCTGTAAAATGGGCTTGGAGGTCGAAATTCATTTGGGCCATTCCCACTATAATGGCAGAAGCTAGACTCAAATTGGCTTAAACGTAATAAGGAACGTGTGGGTCATGTAACCGGAAAACCAGGCTGCAGTGGGAGCCACGGCGCCGTCCCCAGGAATCGGGGTCCCTCTGCTGCTCATAGCTTTGCACGCTGCTTTGTCGTGTGGGGCGGCTTCTCCCCACTCAGGGGCCCGGGGAGCCCCAGACGCGCCTCTTAGCGTCTTAGCTGCCGAGCCAGTTCCTGTCCTACACTGAGCCCCAGAATCCGAGTCTTTTAAGTTTTTTTCAACTTTGAAATCATTGTAGACTAACAGGAAGTGGAGAAAACAGTACAGAGAGTCCCATGCTTCCTCCATCCAGTTTTCCTCCACGATGATACTTTACGTAACTCCAGTACAATATCAAAACCAGGAAACTGACGTTGGTCCAGAGTCACCACCTAGAAGACAGGCCCCGTCGAGTTGTTGCCGTTTTCCACATGCAGGCGTGTACACTCTGTGCAGCTTTATCCCATGCACACCAGAGTTGAGCTTTACTGATCTAACCTGGGCCATGTGCCCCTGTGGGACTGCGCCCCACGTGCTCACGGGACCGACCGCCCTGATTGGCTGGGGTTTGAGCTAACAAAGGCCCAGCTCCAGTGATGAGGGGACAGTAAACAGCCTGGGATCAGGGGTGTTCAGAGACAGCCTCCCCACAAGGAAGTGCCCAAGCAGAGATCTGAAGACAAAGCAGGGAAAACCATTGAGAGTGGAGGGAAGGGAAAGAGCAAAGCGTGGGAAAAACAGGATGCATTCGGGGAATCACAAGGTGTGCAGTTTGGCTGAAGCACCGAGTTGAGGGCTGAGGCCAGCAGGGTCTCAGGAACCCTGAGAGGGCTCCTGGGCCAGAGTCCGAGGGCACTCGTGCTCTGGCTGCAGCAGGGGTGGGACACAGGAGGTGGACGGAGAGATCCAGGGAGGCTGTGGCCTCTCACAGCCTCTCACTGGCCCTTTTGCCCCCAGGTTCTCCCTGAAGAGGTTCGAGTCAGAAGATGCTCTCAAGATCCATGTGGCGCTCAGCGTCAGCTTGTTCCTCCTGAACCTAACCTTCTTCATCAATCTGGAGCATGACCCGAAGTTGTCCCCTGTCGCCTGCTGGACCCGGGGGGCCATCTTCCACTACTTCCTGCTCTGTGTCTTCACCTGGATGGGCCTGGAAGCCTTCCACCTCTACCTGCTCATCATCAGGGTCTTTAACACCTATTTCGGGCACTACTTCCTAAAGCTGAGCCTGGTGGGCTGGGGTAGGTGTTGCCTGGGTGGGCAGAGGGGGCGGCTGGCCCTGAAGGGGCAGGGAGAGGAGCAGCCCAGGGGAGAGTGGCGGCTCCATCTCTCAGACAGGCTCAGGGTTTGCAGGATGGGCAGCTGGAGGGGGTTTGGAGGAGAGCACGTCCCAGGAGTCCCAGCAATGCCATGCCTCCTCCCCCCACCCAGGCCTGCCAGCCCTAATGGTCATCGGCACTGGGGGTGCCAACAGCTATGGCCTGTACACCATCCGAGACCAGGAGCGCAGGATCACACTGGAGCTGTGAGTGGCGGCTGTGGCAGCGGGAGTGACGTCAGGGCCCTGGCTGCACATATTGAGGGAGGTGGGAAACCTGGGTGGAGAGATGGAGTAGGTTAAGGTGAAGGACCCTCAGATCCAGTTCATGACCCGCAGGAGTAAACTGAGGCCTGGGGAGAGGATGCAGTGAGAGAGGGGCCCTGAGAAGCAGGAGAGGGCACGGGACCAGGAGGCGGATGCCTTGCTCTTGCCTGGCCCACCACCGGCCCACATGGCATTTTGGAACACATTTTATAGAGTGTATCCTACCCTTAACCTGCCGTGCTGGGCACTCAGCTGGCTTTCAGCTCCCACCTGCCCCCTCAGCCAGCTGCCCTTGTGCAGGGCATAACCTGCCCAACATTCCCAGCGGCTCTGGTCCTATTTGGCTCTGCCTCTGAGTTGTTCTGTGGCAATGGGCAAGCCTGTCCTCCCCCTGGGCCTCAGTCTCCTCATCAGCCCAATGGAGCAAAGGGGGAGGTGGGCTGATATACGTGCTTTTCTGCCTCTTCACCCTGAAGTGCAGAGGGCAGGGGGCAGAGCTGAGCCCCTCCCAGGTGCCTGTCCCAGGCCCATGACTCTGTGCTTAAGGGGGGCTGGTGAGGCCTTTGTCCTGTCCCCTGGGCCTCAAAGTGGGGGGGTCACAGGGTCCAGTAGGTGGTAACAAAGTGCCTGTGGTGGCCTGGGTGGGGACTGCGGTTGACTGGCAGTTACACACCCACCTAATGGGCAGCGGCCAGGTGTATGGTTTTACAAGAAGAGCAGAAAGATGTTTATGCCAATGGTCCTACTTTTTTTTTTTAAGATTTTATTTATTTATTTTTAGAGAGAGGGGAAGGGAAGGAGAAAGAGAAGGAATGAAACATCAACGTGTGGCTGCCTCTTGCACGCCCCTAACTGGGGACTTGGCCCGCAACCCAAGCATGTGCCCTGACTGGGAATCGAACCAGCTATCCTTTGGTTCACAGGCCTGTGCTCAATCCACTGAGCCACACCAGCCAAGGCCAGTCCTACTTTTTAAAGGGTGGTCATCAACTCAGTCTTTGTACAACATAATGTGGGGCAAACAAAACATGTGGTTGGGGCCCAGTGGACCCCTTTGCCCGCACTGGTCTAAAGAGACGGCAGACTGGAGTCGCTTAAGAGCCCTTCCCCTGGGGAGCGGGGGACTGACGGGTGGAGGTGGGGAAAGGAAGGCATCTTCCTGGTCATCGAGGGTCAGCTGGGGAGACCACCCAGGGCCTGCTGGTCAGGGGGTACCGGGCCCAGTCCCAATGTCCACCCACCTCCGCCAGGTGCTGGTTCAGTAACAAAACTGCCCTCTACATCACCGTCCATGGCTACTTCCTCGTCACCTACCTTCTCAACACCGTGGTCCTGGGCCTGGTGGCCTGGAAGATCTTCACTCTGCCCAGTGCCACGGCGGGCAAGGAGAAGCGGCAGAAATGGAAGGGGGTCCTCACCTTGCTGGGCCTCTCAAGCCTGGTGGGCATGACATGGGGGCTGGCCATCCTCACGCCCCTGGGCCTGTCCACCATCTATGTCTTCGCACTGTTCAACTCCTTCCAAGGTGAGGAGGCCCAGGGAGGAGGCCGGCTGCCTCATCTGCACCAGGAGTGTCGGGAGGCGGGGAAGGAGTGGTTTGCAAGAAACAGGGTCCCACTCAGGCCAGCCCAAATCGAGGGCACTGATTTGAAACATCCAGGGCTCTCCCAGAAGCCCCAGGGCGGAAGGCTGGCTGACTTCATGGGAGCTGGTGCCAAGCTCAGGAAAAGCAGACACTTTCTCCATCTTTTTCTTCTGGAGCCACACGTGGCCTCTCACCTTCTTCTCTCTGTGGAAACCCCTCCATGCTTCTCTCTCCACTGGCCCATTCCTACCCACGGCCCCCCAGTGGCTGCCCACGGTGGTCGCCTCAACCCTACATGACCTTCCAAGTCTAGTGACTACGGTCCGATTCCATCTCTTCTACACTGTTAAGAAAATGAAGGATCCGATTGGGCCATCTTAGTCAGGTGTCCATCTCTAGTCCAACCAGAAGTTACCAGGAGGCCACATAACATGGACAGAGTCTCCAAGGAACTGTGGAGGCCGGAAGGAAGTGACTAGTGGAGGAAATGATTGATACCTCTGCTTCCTGCCCCCACAGGGTCCTTCCTCTGATATCCCAGCAAAGGGGCAGGTGCTCTGGGTTTTCTGCGTGCACCCCTCCTCTCTGGTCTACACACCCCCCCTTTCATGCACACAGCTTAAAGAAGCCTCACAGCCTGCCTACCCAGGCCTTGGTCCACAGTCTCATCTCCTCCAGGGAACCCCCGTGGCCTGGACCCAGTTGGTGCAAGCCCACAAAAACAGGCCTGGCTCCCAGTGCCTCATGAAACTGTGTGTCATCATGGCTGGGAACACTGGGGACAGGCAGGCCTGGATTCAAATCCAGGCTTCACTTGTGACCCCGGCAAGTCACTCGGCTCCTCGGACCCAGTTGCCTCTATCCCAACTGTGCAGTCATCTGCACAGTTGGGAAAAATCCCGCACCAACCTCGCCAGATTTCATAATGAATAGCTGAGATAAGGCACGTGGGGAACATAGGAGGCCTTCGGTACATGGAAACTGATTTTCCCATAAGATCCTGAACTTTTACAGTGGGGCTCTTTCTCCTCCGGGCAGCTGCCGGCCAGGCTGCCCAGCCCCGTCGGCTTCCCGGGCCCAGCCGCTGCCTCTCCTCCCTGCAGGCGTCTTCATCTTCTGCTGGATCATCGTGCTCTACTTCCCAAGGCCGAGTACCGGGCCGTCTTCCGGCACCGCCCAAGCTGAGCAGACCCGCACCGTGTCGCAGGAATAGGGGCCGCCCTGTGCTCTGGACTCAGCTCCAACCCCCTCTGTGACCTTGGACAGCTCCCTGCCTCCCTCTGGTCTCAGTTTCTACATCGTACAAAGTGGAGGGGGCAGGGGATGAGGACCAGGTAGGACCACCTGACCTCGAAGGTCACATCCAGATTCATCTTGGGTCTGAAAGTCCACAAATCCAGGACTGCAGGCATCTGAAGTTCCTTCAGTCCTGGGACCCGGCCAGCACAGAGTGATACCCTCACCCCTTCCACTCTGTCCCCACCCCTCCTCTTCCTGGCAAAGCAGCCTATCCCTGCCATCGCCCGCCTTCTGGCCTCAGTCAGGGCCTGAGCCCAACTAGAGACACTCGTTGTTGGCCCAGCCCCTCAAAGGAGCCCAGCCTCTCCCTCCAGCCCTCTCGCCCTCTTGTCACTGTCACTGCCTTCCCACCTTCCCCTCCCTCCCACTGCCTCTAGTGAGGCTCGTCCCCTCGGCCACTGGGGTGGTTGTGAACTGGAGGTTTGTTTTGAAGGGTTGGTCCTCCCAGCTTGCCTGCCCCCGAGCTCAGCCTGTCTCCCCACTTCGGGAGCTGCCAGCCCTCCAGGTCTCCTGGACGCTGAATTTCAGAGAACGCCACTTAGTGGGTGGGATACCTCCTCTTCCCATTCCGGACTGCCTTGTGGGTGGCTTGACCTCTGGTCTGTTGTCACGGTGGGCTGGGGGTCCAGGGCTGCGTGTACCTGGGGGCCGAGGGGCCGAGGTGGGGGGTGGGGTTGGGCTGAGCAGGGAGAGAGAGGCCACATCTCCCCTGGAATCTGAGTGCCTACAGAGCAGGCACTGTGGTGGCCTCACTCACCCATTCAGCCCGGCCCTGGTGCGTTTGGGGCCCTGAGTGAATATTTGCTGTGGCCGAATAGGTGGACGTGCGAGTCTGGCGCCCGCCCAACGGGGCCCCGGGCCAGGAAAGTGTCTCAGGACGGATGCCACTTCCAGTGGCTGGACCTCTGCTGTGTCATTCCCTGTGCTGCTTTCCTCAGTAGGAAACGAAGAGTCAGAGATAGAAACAGAGGAAGAGATGAGAGATGAACCATAGAGGGAGGGAGGGGTAACGGATAAGCTAACACGAGGGAGACGGACAGAGGCGGAAGGGCGCTGCCCCCTTCCCCGAGCCTGCCCCAACCAAGAGGGACTGGTCCCCCTCCCTGGGCCCCCCTCAGGTTCATGTTCCCAGTCTTTATTTACTAATCGGGGGACTCCCTCCCCTACCTAACCACCCTGCTCTCCAGCGGGCTTTGGAGAAGGTCGCGCACCTCCTACAGACGGCAGATTGTTATTATTAGACCCTCCCCACAGCCCCGCTGCCAGTCTGCTGCCCCCTGAACCCCCCCCCACACACACACACACATGGACAGGGCCGGCAAACAGAGGGAAGGCAGCAAAGCAGGGGCCCTAGTTTTAAACAAGCCACTGTGTTCCTGGAAGGAAAACCCCAGGGTGGGGACACCACTTCGGTTGAGCCACATCATTAGTTTCTGTGCCTTTACTTGGTGGCTTTGGAGGCTTATCTTCACAGACCCATGCTTCTCACACCGAAGATCTCTGCTTCCTTTCCACAGAGTCTCAGGGTCACCAGCCTGCACCCGGGAGGAGCGGTGTCTGCCGGGCCTGGGCCCAAACCCTTGCTCTGCTACTCGGGGGCTGTGTGACCCTGGGCATGTCTCCGCACCTCTCCGCACCTCTCCCACCTCACCTCCGCACCTCAGTTTCCCCGTCTGTAAAACTGAGATCAGGTGCATGCCTCATCCTGAGAGCATTAAGTGCGGTGACAAAAGTCAAGTGCCGGGTCACCTGATGCAGCAGGAGTTGGTAGGCTTCCTGAGACCCCCTTCCTTGGCTTCAGGAAACACCAGGGGGAGCCCTTGGGTAAAGCACGACCCCCTGCAACCAGCACGTGAACCAGGCGGGGTGTGGAGGTCAGAGCTCCCTTCCCGGTTGCTTTCCACAGCCTCGCTCAGCGGCCCAGCCCTGTGGGGGATGAGGCCTGGTGGCCCTGAGAGGCCCAGTGACCTGCACAAGGCCAGTCTGCGAGCTGGGGCCACACTAGGGCTGGGGCGTCCCAGGGGTGCTGATGCCTCCTCCCAGAGCATTCCTGGGTTCAAGGGTTATCACCCCGCCCCTGAGCCCTGAGCCCCTGGGCTGTGGTTTCCCAGACACTTCCACAGGGAATCCCAAGCCCAGGTGAGTCTGGTTTCCTGGTGTAGAGGGAGAGGGTGTGGGGAGTGTTGGCTCCGCCGCCCAGGGCCAGGCAGGGGCAGAGGGGTGGTCCCTCATTGCCAGGGGTCACTGCAAAGGCAGCTCCAAGTGACATGCTGAACACACGCTGAGGCCAGGCAGGGCCATGATCCAAATGTACCCGAAGGCTCAGCACGAATAAGCAGGGGTCCCCTGTCACTGGACCATCACCATAGCAACTCAGGAGGCGGGCAGCCTGCCCGGTCCAAATTCTACCTCTGCACCTGCCTTGGACCAGTTCCTCACCCACTGAACCCATAAAGGTGGGATGGTGGTAGCTGCCCCACAGGGTAGATGGCGGAGTAAATGAGGTGCTGGCTGAGAGGGCTGCCCAGTGCCTGGGCCACCGGGCCCAGCAGGAATATGGCTGACCCCGAGCTTTTGTCTGGCCATCACCTTCACCTTGTCAAGCTGTGGTGGCCACTGATGTGCTGCAGGATGGGTCCCCCCACTCCCACCAGGGCTCCCTGGTTCTTTCTGTTCTACCCCAATTTCTTCATGTCTAGTGTTTTCTTTTTTTTTTCATTTTATTTTATTTTATTTTTTAATTTATTTTTTAAAATTGATTATGCCGTTACAGTTGTTCTATTCCCCCCTTCATTCCCCTCCACCCTGCCCCCCCATCCCCATCATTACCTCCCTTTAGTTTATGTCCATGTGTCTCAAGTCCTTTAGGTTCTATATTTCCCATGCTATTCTTGCCCCCCCCCATCTATTTTCTATCTACTGTCTATGCTACTTATTTTCTGTACCTTCTCCCCCCTTCTCCTCCTCCCACTCCCCTGTTGCTAACCCTCCTTGAGATCTTCATTTCTGTGTTTCCACTCCTGATCTAGCTGTTCTTTTAGTTTGCTTTCGTTTTAGGTGTGGTTGTTAATAACTGTGAGCTTGTTGTTCTTTCACTGTTCATGTTTCTTTAACTTCTTTTTCTTAGATAAGTCCCTTTAACATTTCATAGAATAAGGGCTTGGTGATGATGAACTCCTCGAATTTGATCTTATCTGAGAAGCACCTTATCTGTCCTTCCATTCTAAATGAAAGTTTTGCTGGATAGAGCAATCTTGGTTGTAGGTCTTTAGTTTTCATGACTTGGAATATTTCTTTCCAGCCCCTTCTTGCCTGTAAGGTCTCTTTTGAGAAATCAGCTGACAGTCTGATGGGGACTCCTTTGTAGGTGATTGTCCCCTTAGCTCTTGCTGCTTCTAGGATTCTCTCCTTCATTTTAATTTTGGCTAATGTAATTATGATATGCCTTGGTGTGTTTCTTCTTGAGTCCAACTTTTTTGGTACTCTCTGAGCTTCTTGGATTTCTTGGAAGTCTATTTCCTTTGCCAGATTGGGGAAATTTTCTTTTATTATTTGTTCAAATAATTTTTCCACTGGTGGCTGTGTCTTTCCCCCTTCTGGTACCCCTATAATTCGGATATTGGAGCATTTAAAGATGTCCTGGAGGTTCCTAAGACTCTCCTCATTTCTTTGAATTCTTGCTTCTTGACTCTTTTCTGTTTGGCCATTATTTGCTTTCTTCTGGTCCACTACATTGATTTGAGTCCCAGTTTCCTTTTCATCTTTATGGGTTTCCTTTGGAATTCCATTCATTTCCCTTAGTTTAGCCTTCATATGTTTCTCTAATTTGTGGCTATAATCAACCAGATCTGTGAGGATCCTGATGACCAGTGTTTTAAACTGTGCATCTGAGAGTTTTGCTATTTCTTCGTCGCTTAGATTTATCTCTGGGGCTTTGAGGTCTTCCTGCGACATTTTTGGTCTGTTCTGGCCCTTTAAATATGAGAAGCGGCGCCTTGGACTCCCAGGTCGCTGGGTTGTGACGCTGTATGTGGGGGCGTGGTCAGAGCGGGGAAATGGCGGCACCCTCCACTGCCGCATGCCACGGGGACCGCCGGGCCCCGGTCCAACCGCCCACTCCCTCACCTGTCCGCTCACCCGCAGACAGGCAACCGCAGTCAACACGCAGCACCGCCTCCCCACTGTCTCCTCAGCAGTCGCTCACCCGGTGGGTTGCTCGGTCGCTCGCTAGGTCCAATCCTGCGTTTGGAACCCGTGCGTCTGGATTCTCGCGTCTGGATTCCGCGCCTGGGTCCGTCCGACCGGAGTCCTCCTGTGCAACCCCTCACGAGACGCTGGTTTCGCCTCTTACCGGTCCGGCTGAAGAATTTGTTGTTAACGGACTTCCGAAAAGTTCAATTTTTCGTGTTCTGGTTGTGTTTTCTGATGCTAATATTGAGTTGTCCCTAAACTTGGTTGTGTGAGAAGGCACGGCACATCCACCTATACCTCCATCTTGGCGGAAGTTCTAGTGTTTTCTATTACAATATAACACATACACAGAAAATGAGAAGACCTCCTTTCTCTGTGCTCTCAGATGGATGACAATATCAAAAAACTGAAATTCTCCACAAATTAATCAAGGAATATAATGCGATTTCAATAAAGATTCCAAGTGATTCTTTAAGACTTTCCAAAAATTATTCTAAAATTTATATGGAAGCACATAGGCCTCAAATAGCTAAGTCGGCCTTAGTGAGAGAGGACACAAAAGGACGACTTGAACGACAGATTCTTTAAGAAGTTGTTACGAGACCATGATGATAAATCCAACATGGGGTTTGTGCAAGGATAGGCATGCAGACCAGGGGAACAGACTAGAGAGCTCGGCGGCAGGCTCACTTACACCTGGGAGATTTAACCCACGGCAAGAGCGGGCATCATCACCAAGAAGGACGTAAGATCTGGGGATGGTGTGGAAAACTACGTCCAGTGTAGTTTTCCCTCCACAGAGCCACGCTGTGACTTTTGTGAGTCCCTTTGTCCAAGAACAGAGCGGCAAAAACTATTTTGCAACTCCATTAATACAAAGATAAACATAATCCAGTGTGGGCTCATAATTATATATTCATTGGTAGTATATTCATTTTTCTCTTCTGAATTTAGAAGATATTAAAATGAAATATTTCATGGGCCGCTAACATAATGGGGAAATTTCCACTGCCCTGAATCGGAGACTTGTCCTGGATTAGGACCCGGGACTCAGGCAGCCTGGCTCGGTCCACCATGACAGGCCACCACTCCAGGACCCACCCTGGGTCCCATCTGTCCTGATGAGGCTACTTTGACTGTGCCTGGGGCACGGGCCGCATGGTGTCCCGGGAAATGTTTAACAACTAGCCAGCTTTGCAACAGCTGATTGTCACGCTTTCGGGAAGGTTGGTGAGCCAGCTGACAAACACAGCCATTGTTAAAAATTAAATTATAGAAATGCAGCCCAGGTCCTCTGGGCCCAGACCTGGGTGGTGGCGGAAGACTACATTTCCCAGAAGCCTCCCCTCCCAGGACAGGCCCTCAGCTTCCGAAAGCTGTTACTATGGAGACAGACTAACAGACTGAACAGGCTATCCTCAGAGGGGTGAGAGGGGGTTAGGGGACTGGGGACGGCTGGACCCGCCGGGCAGGGAGAGGGTGCTGGTGGTAAGGGGGCATCTTCTGCCTGGGGGGCTTTCGGCCCTGACCTCTCTGGGGAAGTTTTCACTGTGTGTGTGTCGAAGAGGAAGAGGTCGCTTCTGGGGAGGAGGGTGCAGAAAATGGCTGTGGGTGTGGGGAAGGCCCCTGGGCCTCTGGGCCTCTGGGCAGGGTTCAGGAAACTTCCAGTCCAGACTGCCCTCCTCAAACCGTGCCACGGCTGCCGAGGTCGCCTCACGTGGGGAAGGAAGTATTGCAGGTTCTGGTCCAGCCCTGCCTCTGAGGACGGGGTTCTGCGGCCTTGGGCTCAGGGCCGTCTCAGTGCCGGCCCCAGTGTAAGCCCCTGCTGCCCACTGGCACCCTGGCCCCCTCCCCACCCTACTTCTCTCTTTACTCTCCATCCCCACCCGTCACATCCTTCTGAGACATCCCATCTCATGAGGCCCTTGAGTGCATGGGGTTTGGAAATAGACGGGTTCAAACCCCAGGCCTGCTACTTACTAGCTCTGTGACCCTAGGCAGTGAGTGCCTCTTAACCTCTTTAGGCCTCAGTGTTTCCAACTGCAAAGGCGGTTTCCCAATGGCGTCTGCCTCCCAGTTGTTGGAGGAGAAGTGATATGATCTCTGTAACCCCTCAGCCAGCCCAGCGCCTGGGACATGGTGGGGGCTCAGTAAACTGGAAGCGCCTGTATGGCTGTCATCGCCCTCTCTGAGCTCATCGTCCCCATGCCCCGGCAGCAGACGAGTGGGTCTGATCGCTGGGCTGCGTTGTTCGGCCGGTGGGCACAGTGGGAGGTTCACCTGCAGGGAACCGGGGTCTGGAACAAGCCTGCTGCTGGACACGGGGCCTCAGCTGTGATGTCGAACCCCCGGGACTCGGCTGCACGGACCTTCAGAAAAGTGACACATGTGCTCAGCCCCTCCTGAGTCCCACCAAATGTCAGAATTGGATGGAAAACATCTACCTGCCCTTCTACATTACAGAAGGGGAAACTGAGGCCCCGAACGGGGCAGGGAGTGGCAGAGCCCGGTTTTTGCCCTAGCCAGGCTGGTGGTCAGTGACGTGCCTCCCCCAGAGGCCCAGGCAGCCCAGGTGGCCCAGCTATGGGCTGGGTCGGAAGGGCGGGGCCCGGCCTTTGCCTCCAGGTCCCTGTTGCCCTCTTGGCTCTGGTCACCCCAGGGGGCGTTAACAAATCTGGGGAGACCCCGTGCTTTTCTCCCCAGTTTCTCTCCACGACCTCCCCAGCACATCCTACACATTGGTCCAGTTTTCCTCCTCTTTGGACCTTTGCCATTTTTTTTTTTTTAAAGGTATTCAAGGTGGGGCAATGAAGACTTGAGCTGGGAGGCAGGAGGCTGGTTCCTGGTTTACACAGGAACCCGCTTAAACAAGCAGGGGCTGGGTTTCCTCATATGCTGGGAAGTCTGAAGGTGGTACTCAAGGCCTCCCCGTTTCCTCACTCTGCCATCCTTAGCAGGCAGCTTTGGTCCCCATGAGTGGTTACCCCGCAGTCATGCACTGGCGGCCCCAGCTCCTGCTTTATGCCCCCCTGTCCCAGGCAGGAAGAGGAGGAGAAGAAGGGTGAAGTGTCTGTGCCAGCTGGACTCACTGCTTTAACATGTGACAATTTTGACTCACATCTCAGCAGCCAAAACAGGGTTCAAATCACAGGGCTAACCCTAGCTGCAAGGGAGTCTGGGAAGCTGAGTATTTCAAACCAGGCACATGGCTGCCCCCAATGAAATGGGATTCTTTTTATGGAAGCCTGGAGCTTTGGGTAGGCAAGTAACAGTCCACCTCAGGGAGGCTTGGCTCTGTGACCACAGCAAGGCTTTCCCCAGGGTGCAAGAGCACATACGGCATCGGGGTGTGGCTCCCAAATGACCTCATCCTGAGGGATGACATGGGGCTTGGCCAGGAGAGTGCACACACACCTGCCCCTCATCCGGGTGCCTTGGTGGCAGCCCTACTTTCGCTCCCTCTGTGCCTCAGTTCCAATTATGGTGATGTTACCTTTCCAGGGGTCATATTCCATACCACCACCTTGCTATTATGAACAATTTTCTTTTACTCAATTCACTTACTGGGGTTGATGAACACATTTAAATAGGAAATTTCACAACACTGCCGTAATCTCTGCGGCACTAGTATCATTTGCCATAAAGAGAAGATACGGTCTGAATAAACAGACGAGAAGGCAAGCAATGCAAGTAAGTTTGGGCTGCCCTCTCCTGCCCTGACGGTGGTTCTCAACCTGTGGCCTGCTTGGATTTGTGTTCAAGGGAGATCAGTGAGTGCTAGAAAGGTGTTACAGATGAGTCAGTGCCAAGCAGAGACTTTTTCCTTGATGGAAAGGAAGTTTAAGGGAGATGTGCTTCTCCCCTCTGTGATCTTGGGACACAGGTGGTCTTGGTGGTCCCTTCCTGGTTGGAAGATGGGCATGCTGAGTGCGTTTATCCCTCCTGCAGAGGCTCCATCGCTCAGCAGCCAGAGGCACGCCAGGATGGAGGTCCCGAAGGAGAAGGTGGAGAAGGAGGAGGCAGCCGAGCAGGAGGCAACAGAGCAGGAGGCAGCGTATGAGCAGTCAGAGACAGGCGAGATGATGCAGCCGCGGGAGGTGCAGAGGAAGGGAACCATCATGACGCAGGAGATGCTCAGAGATCTGGAGAAGAAGCTGTTGGGTATTGATATCACCGTCCCGGAGAAGCCCTTGTGAGTGTTGGGATGGGGGCTTCAGGCTCAGAAGCCCCGGAGAGGGCCAGAACAGGGCTGGGTAAAGTAGGAGCCGGGCAGGATGATGGTACCTGGGTGGGGAGGCAGGACCGAAGCACAGAGAGAGGCCGTTAAGAGTAAGGGCTCTGCTCAGGCCCTGGCTGGTGTGGCTCAGTGGATTGAGTGCTGGCCTGCGAACCAAAGGGTCACCAGTTCAATTCCAAGTCAGGACACATGCCTAGGTTATGGGCTAGGTCCCCAGTAGGGGATGCATGAGAAGCAACCACACATTGATGTTTCTCTCCCTCTCTTTCTCCTTCCCTTCCCCTCTCTCAAATAAATAAAGATTGAATCTCTGTCTCTAGTTATTTTAAAACATTTGTTTTAAAAAAGAGTGAGGGCTCTGCTTTCAGACCACCTGGGCCAAATCCACACTCTGCTGTGTGATTCTGGGCAAATCACTTAACCTCTCTGTGCCTCAGTTCCCTCATCTGTTTAAAAGGGCAGATGCTAATAATGGCACTTCCTTCCTAGGTAGTTGTGAGGATAGAGCCCCTGGCAGCTAAGGTGGATCGAGGGCTCCCTGCGTCCAGGCCTAGCCTCACACAGTCTAATCAATGCCACCCTTCTCACGGGCACAGGATCATTACCAAGGACACCATCGACATCTCCAAGCTGCCTCATTCCTACCAAAGCAACACGCCCGAAGAAGAACAGCTGCTGGAAGTGGCAGACAACTTCTCCCGCCAGTACAGCCACCTGTGCCCAGACCGCGTGCCCCTCTTCCTGTACCCGCTGAATGAGTGCCAAGTGCCAGTAAGGCCGGGTCATGGAGGGCCAGGCGGGGGGCTCGATGGCAGAGGGTGGAGGGAGGTGGGTCCACGTGCAGCCCTGTCCTGGACCAGAGCCTATAGGTGGGGAAGAAAAAAGACATGAGACAAAATGATGAGATGGGCCCCAGGACCCAAGCCCTGGACTCCTTCCTTCCAGCCCTGTACCCAGGGCACCTCCCTGAGTCTCTCTGGACCTCAGTTTCCCCATCGGAAGATGGAATGGCAGAGGATGAATCCAAAGGCTGTACCAGGGCTGCCCAGGGGCTGGCAGAGACTCGCAGGTGGCTTTATTTGGCCCACATGGTGCTTTCTGACCTACGTGTTAGCTGCCAGCCTCTGAGGCTCTGTGATGCCCATGCAGATCCCTATTCTCCTCTTTGCTCACCCGGTAACCCCAGGCCTGCATTCCCCAGGCCCGCAGCAGGCAGCAGGGCTGGTACCGGGGCTACCCCTCCGGTGGGGCCTTCCTTGGAGGCCTGGACCCCAGGCCCCAGGTGGCAGAGCAGCCCCTGAAGGGCCCTAGTAGCCGAGGTCCCCTGCGCTGGGGGGTGGCCCAGAGCCAGACAGACACAGCTCTGATGCTGAGTGTGAACCTGAGCCCATCAGCACACTTCCTGGAGCCTCAGTTTCCTCCTCTGTCAGTGGGACTGGCCTCACAGAGTTGGGGGGAAGCCATGTCTGGGGCACTCAGGGGGGCAGTGGGGATGACAGGGAGGCACTGACTTGGCCCCTGGGGACAGCGCAGCTTCTCCTGGATCTGGGCTGGAAGAGCTTCAGGGAATACCTTTCTCCAGCTCCCGAGGCACGGGGGAGGAGCCCAAAGCCCAGAGAGGCCTAGAGAGCACCCCTGACGCCCAGCCAGAGGTCTTTGGCTTCCCAGGAACGCCACACTCTCCAGCCGGCCAGGCGGGATGTCCTCCCAGGTCTTCGGTCTCTCCCCTGCAGAAGTTCGTGAGCACGACCATCCGGCCCACGCTGATGCCCTACCCCGAGCTCTACAACTGGGACGGCTGCGCCCAGTTTGTCGCAGACTTCCTCTCCATGGAGCCCCTGGCCGACCCTCTCAAGCCGGTAAGTGCCAATCTGGGCTGCATCCCCGGGGCCCAGTGAGGCCAGGGATGGGGAGCCAGGCAAGTCTGGAGAAACAGGCTCTGCCCACGAGACTGTTTGGAGAGGGTGGGGGAACAGGCCCAGAGGGAGGCCGCCGTACAGCAAGCCTGGTCTTCTGGCTCCCGCCTCTTTGCCTCCTCTGCCTCCTTCTGCCTTCAGAGAGTCTTCCTTTCCCAGCTGCAGAAGTGGGGAAAGGAAAGAGCAGGCCTCTGACCAGCTCAATCGGCTTCTCATTGATAAAGGAGGGAGGGAGAGAGAAAGGGCCTGAAGTGAAGGGTAGGGTGGGGGAGGCGGTGAGGGGAACTTTGGGATAAAATCACAGAATTGCCCATCAGAGAGCCACAGGCTTCTACGGTCCACGGGGACTCCCCAGCAGGAAGGCACACCCCCTGAAAATCGCAGGCAGATGTGGGCAGCTCTTTCTGGACACACGGGGTCGGTGGTTTTGCTCCCATTCTTAGCAGGCCCCCGCTACCCTGATGAAGGCGAGGAGCTCGGTCGGGGCCCAGCCTGTGTGGACACCAGTGCCCCGCCCTTGCACATGGGGAGGATGGGCCAGGGGCAGCAGGCCCCATGGCGCTGACCACCCACCATGGCCAGCCCTCGCATTTGTACTCGTCGACCACGGTGCTCGCGTACCAGAAGGGCAACTGCTTCGACTTCAGCACGCTGCTCTGTTCCTTGCTCATCGGCTCTGGCTACGACGCCTACTGCGTCAACGGCTATGGCTCGCAGGACCTGTGCCTCATGGACCTAACCCGGGAGCAGTGCCCGCTCACGGTGAAGCCCAAGGAGGTAGGCGGGCTCCATAGGCACCGCCCTCACAGAGGCGTGTCCTTGCCGCTCCTCCCCACGGCTCCTCCCCACGGCTCCTTCCCGCGGCCCTGCTACTGGAATGCAGCTGTGTCAACTTGGAGTTCGTATTTCCAACCACCGGTGGTTTCTTTCTTTTTTTTTTAAACTTTTTTATTGATTATGCTGTTACAGTTGTTCTATTCTCCCCTTTCATTCCCCTCCACCCTGCATACCCCTCCCCCACCATTTCCCCCTTTAGTTCATGACCATGTGTCTCAAGTCCTTTAGATTCTGTATTTCCCCTACTATTCTTGCCCCCCCTCTATTTTCTATCTACTGTCTGCTACTTATTTTCTGTACCTTCTCCCCCTTCTCCTCCTCCCACTCCCCTGTTGCTAACCCTACATGTGATCTTCATTTCTATGTTTCCCCTCCTGATCTAGCTGTCCTTTTAGTTTGCTTTTGTTTTAGGTGTGGTTGTTACTAACTGTGAGTTTGTTGTCCTTTCACTGTTCATGTTTCTTTAACTTCTTTTTCTTAGGTAAGTCCCTTTAACATTTCATATAATAAGGGCTTGGTGATGATGAACTCCTTGAATTTGATCTTATCTGAGAAGCACCTTATCTGTCCTTCCATTCTAAATGAAAGTTTTGCTGGATAGAGCAATCTTGGTTGTAGGTCTTTGGATTTCATGACTTGGAATACCTCTTTCCAGCCCCTTCTTGCCTGGAAGTTCTCTTTTGAGAAATCTGCTGACAGTCTGATGGGGACTCCTTTGTAGGTGACTGTCCCCTTAGCTCTTGCTGCTTCTAGAATTCTCTCCTTCATTTTAATTTTGGCTAATGTAATTATGATGTGCCTTGGTGTGTTCCTTCTTGGGTCCAACTTCTTTGGTACTCTCTGAGCTTCCTGGATTTCCTGGAAGTCTATTTCCTTTGCCAGATTGGAAAAATTCTCCTTTATTGTTTGTTCAAATAAGTTTTCCACTGGTGGCTGTGCCTTTCCTCCTTCTGGTACCCCTATAATTCGGATGTTGGAGCGTTTAAAGATGTCCTGGAGGTTCCTAAGACTCTCCTCATTTCTTTGAATTCTTGCTCCTTGACTCTTTTCTGTTTGGCCATTATTTGCTTTCTTCTGGTCCACTCCATTGATTTGAGTCCCAGTTTCCTTTTCATTGCTATTGGTGTCCTGTGCAATTCCATTCATTTCAATTAGTTTCGCCTTCATATATTTGTCTAATTTGTAGCTATAATCAACCAGTTCTGTGAGGATCCTGATCACCAGTGTTTTAAACTGTGCGTCTGAGAGTTTTGCTATTTCTTCATGGCTTAGATTTATAGGCTCTGGGGCTTTGAGATCTTCTTGCGCCATTTTTGGTCTGTTCTGGCCCTTTAAGTGTGAGGAGCCGCGCATTGGACTCCCAGGTCGCTGGGTTGTGATGCTGTATGTGGGGGCGTGGTCAGAGCGGGGAAATGGCGACCCCCTCTGCTGTTTCTCACAGCTGGGTGAGGATTAGCCTCTTAGGTGGTTCACCTGGGCCGGCCACTCAGAGTCGCTGGGTTGTGACGCTGTATGTGGAGGTGGGGTCAGAGCAGGGAAATGGCGGTGCCCTCCACTGCCACCCGCCACGGGGACCTGCCGGGCCCCGGTCCAACCGCCCACTCCCTCGCCTATCCGCCCGCGCACAAATGCGCGACCACAGTCAACACGCAGCCCCGCTGCCCGCTGTCTCCCCCGTGGTTGCTCGCCTGGTGGTTCGCTCGGTCGCTCACTACATCCAACCCCGCACCTGGATTCCGCGCATCTGGACTCCGCGCGCCTGAGTCCGTCTGACCGAGTTTTCCTGTGCAATCCCGCTTCACCAGCCGCTGGTTTCGCCCCTTACTGGTCAGGCTGAAGAATTTGTTGTTAACGGACTTCCGAAAAGTTCAATTTTCCGTGTTCTGGCTGTGTTTTCTGTTGCTAATATTTAGTTGTCTCTCAACTTGGTTGTGTGAGAAGGCACGGCACATCCACCTATGCCTCCATCTTGGCGGAAGTCACCGGTGGTTTCTCTGACCCCGGCGTCTCAACACACAAGGCCCAGGTGCCCACCCCGGCTGTCCCTCTCCCCTTGTTGTGACTCAGTTCCAGCTCCTGTGTGCCCCATGGGGTAAATTTTACAAATGCCACCTGGCTCATACCTTAAATCAAACTTCCAAATTCACCCTGCACATTTGATTAAAGTCCGCCCAGCCGTTTTCATCTGGGGAAGAAACAGATGCAGGGACAGACATTTAGTTCTGTCATTCCCCCCCCCCCATGTAAAAAGGCTCCTTTAACAGCAAAAAAAAAAAAAGTTACTCACCCTTGAGCAGGTGGTGGGTGTGTTTCTCTCTGTGTCGACCGAGACGCCATAATGGCCAGACACTGCGTGAGCACGAGAAACACTCCTCAGTGTATTTCATTTTAGGAGCCGTGGAAGCATCTCTTTGACTTTGGAAGAGAGCCACACTGCAGGCAGGAGATGCTCCTCATGAGCTGGGTTGACCCCAAAACTTGGGGATCAGGGCCAAACGTGCAGGCGTCTGCAGCTCAGGGCTGGGCGCCCAGCATGACCCACGGTGCCCGTGTTGTGCCCGGGCGAGCCCTGGGGGCCCTGGGTGGTGTTCTGGTGGAGGGAGGCGCCCAGGGAGAGCTCTGCTGTCCCCTGCCCACCTCCTCAAGGAAGAGGGAATCTTCTGTCATTGTCATTGCATTTGGCTCCAAAGGCCTACGAGCGGAACTCGGCCCTCTTTTCTGAGTCAAAATTTTAACTATTAAAATGATACCAACGCTAACAATGATGGAGAACTCTACAGTTCTCGACTTTATTCTACACGCTGCTGGCATGTCCCCTGACTTGGTTGTTCCTCATAACAACTGCCACTTGATTTTCCATGTTTACCAGGGTCACCAGCTGGTGAATGGAGACCCGGGGACTGGCGCGTGGTCCCCGGACTCTAAACCCCGGACACCTGCTCCTTCTCCCTCCTAACTGTCCCCAGGCCACTTCTGTAGACTTTGTAGTGGTTTCTCCTGGATTTTTTTCTTGCCACCAAGTGCTCTCTCTCTCTCTCTCTCTCTCTCTCTCTCTCTCTCACACACACACACACACACACACACACACACACTTTCTTCTCCTTCTTTCCTTGCCCAGCAAACTCTTACTTTACGTCAACCCGTGAAACCCCCCCAGTGCCAAAATCTGGACGATCCAACTTTCTGGGCCATGGCCAGTGAGGGCAGGAGGGTGAAGAAGAGAAAAGCACATCCCCTAAGCACCGGCCCTGATGGGCACCTCCTCTATGGCCATTTTTCCGTCTTTATTCTCAGAACAAGCCCAGGAGAAAGTGTTAATTAGTGCCATTCCAATTTCCAGATGAGCCTGGGTTAGGGGAGTGGAAGGGCTTGCCCAAGGCCAAGGAGCCAGACAGCCTCAGGCTCCAGGAGAAGGGGGCCTGGGGGTGGGGGAGGGTGTGATTTGTGACTGCTGATCTTCCCTCCTCGGGTGACAGGCACTCCGGGAGAAGGAAGCGGCGCCACCTAAGAAGTACGCTGTCAGACCGCCCCGGGACCTGACCAGCAGGTTTGAGCAGGAGCAGGAGAAGAAGCAGCAGGAGAAGACCCAGGCTGAGGAGGAGAGGCGGCGGAGGGAGGAAGAGGAGCACCTGCAGGTGGGCCCGCCGCCCGCCTCGCACCACCCTCTGCCCTCTGCCCTCTGCCCTCTGCCCTCCGCCAGAGCTCAGCTCTCGGGGAGGGGCTTCGAGGAACAGGAGAGAGACACAGGTCACGGGAGAAAGGTGCAATGGACCCCCAGGTCCAAATCGTCTCCTTTACCTCTCAACCATCCCTGCCCTGGCCGGGCCCGGTGGGAGCCTCCCACTGGTGGTCGACTAGCTTCTGGTGGTAGATTTCTCGGGTCAGAGCTCTGCTGCCTGGGGCAGTTCATGTGGGGCAGTTCATGTGGGGCTGTTCTGGTGGCCTCCTCATTCCGGACCCTGTCACTGAAGCCCTGCCCACATACACTCTCCCACCCACCCTCCCGACTCTCCTCCAGCTCTTCTTCCCACACCCACCCTCCCATCCACCCTCCTACCCACCCATCCACATATCCATCCTCCCATCCATCCGTCCATCCATCCATCTCTCCTACCCAGCCACACTGCCATCCTCCCTTTTCCTCCCTGCTTTTCTTTCCTTCTATGTGGTATTCACTGAACATCTCCTCTAGTTCAGGCACTAGGGATACAGTAAACATGACACAGTCACCCTTCTCCCAGAGGGTGGCAGACGAGGAAGCCATATGGTGTCCCACTATGTTTCTCCGGATAAAATCTCACCCGGACCAACTGAATCCCAGCTTCCTCAGAGCTCCAGAGGGCCCCCGATCGAGCCAGTCCCTCCCGTTTTACTGATAAGAAAACCGGCTCAGAGGTGGGGTGATGCTCTCTAGGTCACGCAGGCAGCCAGTGATAGGTACAGTCTGGATCGGAACTCAGCTCTCCTGCTCATTCCCCAGCCCCAGGGAGCTGTTTGGGCAGCTGGCCCCCCGCTTCCCAGCCACACAGCCCACAGTCACCCACCTTCTCTGCACAGCAGTCGGATAGTGCGAACACCGACCCCCTGCACGGCCTGCGGGTGCACTCCTGGGTGCTGGTGCTGTCGGGGAAGCGCGAGGTGCCCGAGAGCTTTTTCATCGACCCGTTCACGGCCCGCAGCTACAGCCCCCAGGACGACCACTTCCTGGGCATCGAGAGCCTCTGGAACCACAAGAACTACTGGATCAACATGCAGGACTGTTGGAACTGCTGCAAGGTTCGGGGGAGGGCCCTGCGTGGGTGCGGCAGTCACAGCGGGGGGCGGTGACTGGGCGGTGGGGGAAGGTGGCCTCCAGGCCATGAGGGCTTCAGACTTTCCCCGTAGCCAAGTCTCCACTGCCCACTCCTTTGCTCACGAAGCCCATTCTGATGTGACTATTGTCTCTTTCAATGTACGTATCCTGTAAAGTGTGGGTTGTGGGTTTGCATGAAAGACTTTTTGACAACGTTGTAGTGAAATGCAACCTACGTGGCAGCAAAGGGCACTCATCCTAAGTGTCCCGCCCAGTGGACTTCCACAGACGTAGATGTACAAACTGAGAGCCACTTACAGAAGTTGAAAACGCACAGGCACCTTTGCGGGAAGGTCCGAACTGGACGCGGGGTGGCTTTCAGGGAGTGTGGGCAATGTTCTGTTTCTCGATCCGGGCGCAGGAAACCAAGGCATGTCCCGTTTACAGAAGCTCACTGAGCCGTCTGCAAACCCACAGGGAGACAGGCTCTGAGTCCTGTGCCCTTTCGTTTTTTCCCAAGCTCCCCCGCTTCCAACCAGGCCAGCTTCCCCAAGGCACACCCCGGGCCCTTTGGCCCCTCTCCCAAGGTGGCCCTGTCTGAGGTGCTGCTGTTGCCACTGTGGGAGACAGACAGTGTTGACGCAGGTGCGCTCCTGCGCAGGTCACTTCATGTGCAAGTCAGATGTCCCGAGGTGGAGACAGGTCTGCCTTTGTGGCAGGAGGAACACACACACACCCCCCCCGGGGCCTCCCTCAGCCTTCGAGTCCAGGGTTGCTCAGCCCTCACTGACCTCACAGGGTGGTGGAAAATGACACTTAGCAGGCGCTCACAACAGTCATCCCCAGCCATCGAATTCACGTGAGCCAGTGTCACCCTTATTTTCCAGAGAGAAAGCGTCCCACACCACACAGAGGGGGAGAGCCAAAACTGTCCTCCCCCAGGGCCCAGGCTCATGGGCCCTCAGAAGGGTCGTGACCGTTGAGAGGCTGTGACAGTCCTCCTGTGCCCCTTTTCCAGGCCAAAGAGCCTGTCTTCTGCCTCCGTTCACAGCACGCCTTGGACTGATGCCAGGCAGAGGGAATTTATGGCGGGGACAACAGAGATTATGAAATGGAAGGGGGCCTGGGGGGAACGTGAGGCCAGAGAGGCAGTTCTGTGTCACCAAGGGAGGGCACGGAGAAAGGGCCAGGACTCCAGCGTCACTTTGACAGACAAGTGAGCAGGGGAGCGGCCGCTTTGTTCCTTCATGGAGACTTGGAAGGGCACTGAGGGCAGAGAGCAGCGACGAGGCCCCACGTGGAGCCAGCGAGACCCCCTACGCTCCCAGGACACGGGGCTATCCGTTCAGTTATGCTTCTACAAAAACAGAAATTGAAGCAGTGAGGCACCCCAGCTGCCGCTTACTACTTACAAAAGTGGCAGAATGAAGGACGTGATGGAAAGAAATGCCAAATCTGTACAGTCTGGTTCCTCTCCACTAAGCCTGGACTATCTGCAGGGACTGTCACAGCCAGGAGCAGTCCTGCCTCTCCCTCCCTCCCACCGCACACCCTCCCCTCTCCGCACACCCCACTGGAGCAGAGAGATGCTCCGGAGCCCTCCAGGACTCAGACACGACAGCGAGGACCAGGATAGGCTGGCTTTGGGACAGCTTCGTGTTGCACCCCCTTGTGGGCAGCTGTTCTTAGGCCTTTGCCCCCTCTGGGACACTGATTCTGGTGACAGAATGACACCCTGAGGAGGCAGACTGGGAAATGGGGCGCTCCCTACCTGCTGGGAGTTACCTGGCAGGTGAGCCTGGGCTCAGGTGGGCTGGATGGGAAGAGGACCCAGGCCAGGGAGGAGAAAACCCATCTGCCTCCTCTGCACTGTCCCACCTGTGCCTGCCCAGTTCCCTTCTCCCTGGCGTGAATCAACACCATGAAGGGGCCTTTCCTCAACTTGCCAGCTCGGCCTCCCGTGAAATCTCCATGGCTTGTACTTGCACTTGCTCTACACACTGCCTGGCGCAACCCCAGACAATGCAGGGTGGCCCTGCCTCCAGACCTCTCCCAGGCTGGAGTTTCCACACCTTCCCCAGAGGACAACAGTGGGGCATCTTCCCGGGGAGACTGCGCAACAGAGAGAGTGTTCGTTGTAGACCCGCCTTGGTGTCCCTGTGGAAATGAGGAGGGTGGGTGGGCAGGGACTCACAGAGGCCGCCTGTCTGACTCGGGGCCCAGGGCCCTTCTCCACCCTGGGAGAAGCTGTTTCCCACCACCCTGTGCAGCAGTAGTGGGGCGTGGTGGCCGTGGGGTGCACTCAATTGAGCCTCTCCCCCATCAGGACTTAATCTTTGATCTGGGAGACCCTGTGAAGTGGGAGTACCTGCTTTTGGGGACCGATAAGCCTCACCTGTCCATGGTAGAGGAAGAGGATGACAACCTGAATGACGACAATGACATAGAGAATCTGGTGAGTCTCATCCGCCTGTGGAGATTCACACCCTGTCTTGCTTCTGGCCAGCCTGACGAACGTCCCCACTAGCATGCATGTGTATGGGAGGGGACAGTCCAAATGGACTGATTGTAGATTCCTCAAAGCAGAAGGAGCAGGACTATGTCCACGTTTTATAAACGGGCAAACTGAGGCCAGAGAGGTTGAACTACCTGCCTGGAACCTCCCACAGCGGGGCAGGGGAGGGCTGGGACTTACACTCAGGTCTCCTGCCCCCCCCCACATCCCTCCTATTCAGAGAGTGTGTCCCTCGCGGCAGGGTGCTACGACCCTCTCCACAGGCCCGGGAGCCGCAGAGCTGGTCATTCCTCACTGCCAGGCCTCCCTGCAGAGCTGCCGTGATCTCCTCCCAGCACTTCTGGGCCTTTCCTGTGCCTCCTCTTTGCTGTTCCAGAGGTCACTGACTGGGGGCCTTCCCCAGGTCGGCAGCATCTCTTCTCTGATCTCCTGGTCTTCCAGGCAGGTCTGCAGGGAGCCCTGCGTGTGCAGGTCAGGGGTCCAGATGCCGCGGCTATTGGCTGTGACGCCTTGGGCACACTTCCTAATCACGGGAAGCTCCAGTGCCTTCCTCTGTGTGTACAGCGGCGGGGCGGAGCCAATCACAGTGAGGTGCATTCATTTGCTGGCGCTGCCCCAACAAAGTACCGCAGGCTAACGGCGTGAACAACAGAAATGCGTTTTCGCACAGTTCTGGAGGCCGGACGTCCAAGACCAGGGTGTGGGCAGAGCTGATCTCTTCAGAGGCCTCTCTCCTCGGCTTGTAGGTGGCTGTCTTCTCCCCATGTCCTCACCTGGTCACCTACCGTGTGTCCACATCCCAGTGTCCTCCTCTCAGAGGACACCAGTCACACTGGAGTGGGGCCCACCCAAACGACCCCATTTTAATGGAATTGCCTTTTTATAGATACAAAATATTCTCTCTTCTGAGGTCCTGGGGGTTAGTTCATGGGAATTTGGGGAGATACCAGTTCTTCCCATAACAATAGGTAACACTCATATGGCCCTTACTGAGTGCCCGCAGGTAGGTGCTTAACCTGGATGAACTTGTCTAAATCTTCACGACCACCGGGTGAGGCAGGGACTAGTATTATCATCCACAACTATTATCCCCTTGACAGATAGGAAGACTTACACCCAGAGGGGCAGAGTAACTGAGCCAGAGCCACACAGCCAGGAAGTGACAGCTGGCATTGGAAGCCGGGATTTGGCCGTCTGGCTCCGTAGTCTGGGTTCTCAGGGGCGACTCTGTTGCACCTGCTGGGCATAGAAAGGTGGTGCGATGTGCCTGCCTGGAAATTGTATTTAGCGTTTCCAGTGTCCTCAGCCATGGCTGCTAAAGACAGTAAATGTCAGTGCACATGCGCCCCCTGCTGGCCACAAAGGCCTGACTAGAAGAGCAGGTGGCAGAGGTCTGAGCAGTAACCAGGTAAGTCTTGGGTCATCCCAGGCCAGGTCAGAACTGCCCGTGACTCCTGGCTCTCTGGAGAGCTCACAAGTCACCCTAGCTTGGCCATGTTTGGGGGGCACTGTCAAGACAGGGGCTCTGCTCTGCCTGTAACTTCTGACCAGAACCAGTGCACCCCACTCCCACCTCTCCCAACAGGTCAAGGAGGATGAGGATAAGTGCTTCGACATGCCGCACTCGTGGGTGGAGCAGCTTGAGATCTCCCCAGAAGGCATGCACATGCTGTGTTCACTCCCTGCCCCAGGCCCTGGGTCCCTGGGACGGTCTGCAGCAGCAGTGAGGCGGGGCCACCCACAGAGGCTGTCCTGGCCCCTCATTCCTACCCCCCCCCCGCTTCCTGTTGCCCCCTCCTCGCCCTTCTTCCCTGCCACACACACTCAGCTCTGCCATCAAGGGCCTGGCCCCAGTTTGGCATACAGGAGGGGGCTCAGTTAACTCAGGTGGGATGATGATGGACGGCGGAGGACCAGCACACAGTCGTCCCCCTCCCTGGCCCCACCCTCCCAGGAGGAGGCCACACACAGTGCCCAGGTGGCACAGGGGAGGGGATGGGCCTGACCAGGGAAGGGCAGGCAGACAAAGCAGAAGGACAGGGATGCTCGTGCCCCGTGCCAACGTCTGCTGGCTGCTGAGCATCTCGTCTGGGACCGCTAGACCCACAGGGACGGCATGGGCCATAGGCCATTCCAGCAGAGCAGGAAGGGCCAGAAAAGGGGTCATGAGGACCCAGGGGAGGAGCACCCAGCCCAGTCCCGGGTGGGCAGTGAGGGCTTCCAGGAGGAGGGGTCATCCGAGCTGAGCCGTGAAGCACCAGAGGAAGTCAGGTTAGGGCAGGAGGGGTGGCCTGGCAGCGAGCGTGTGGAAGGCCAGGGTGCAAGTCTTCCGGTCGGGCTCAAATCTGAGAGCTCCTCCCCAGCAAGAGCCACCGCTGTTGTCCATGGTCCTCTGTCCCCCTGGAGTGGGCTTGGGGCCTTCAGGACCTCAGCAGGCAGCTCAGTGGGCAGTGACCAGGCGAGTGGCTTAGTGGGATTGGCCTCCCCTCCCCTGGTCTGGGAAGGTCCCTCACCCCAGCCCACCCTGTGTCTGCAGTGTTCGAGACCCGCTGCCCAAATGGGATGAAGGTGATACAGTACAAGATGGCCAAGCTGGAAAAGTGGGCCCCGTACCTCAACAACAACGGCCTCGTGTGCCGCCTGAGCACCTACAAGGACTTGGAGTGTAAGAGGGGCAGCCCAGGAGTGGGGAATGGGTCCCCCAACATGCTGTGTGATATTGGGCATGTCCCTGACGCTCCTTCGGTGTGAGTGTGGGCCCTGCTGGCCCCTGTGTGCTGGGGATGGTGGGACAGAGTCTGGGACAGCTGGCCCAGCTGCACACAGCCCCCGCCCGCCCTGCAGGCACCAAGACTCTGGAGGTGAAGGAGTGGTACCAGAATCGGGAGGACATGCTGGAACTGAGGCACATAAACAAGGTCACAGGCCAGATCATCGACTACTTCAAGCCGGGCCACCCCCAGGCTCTGCGTGGTGAGTGGATCACACCACTGGGCCAGCACGGGGCCCCAGTGACGCCTTACACACTCCTTAGCGCAGCCTCTGTGTGGCGGGCGTGAGGTGGGAAGAGCCAGCATCCAGGTACCGACAGGGTTCTCTGGGTGGCAAGCAACAAAAACCACCCTGCCTCCCGTGCAAAGCAGATGTGAGGTCGTGGGGAGCTCAGAAAACACAAAGAAATGTGACAAGTGACCCTCCAGGAAAGTGAAAGCCAGGGCCACCTGCTGATTCTGTGGTTGGGATCACACAGCGGGGGCCACATTTACAGAGGGGTCAGGATGCTGAGCAATAAAACCAACAAATTGGTTTTATTGGCGGTGCAGAGGGTGGGGGGTGGGGAAGCTTTGGACATGACTGTGAGCCCTGGGAGGGGAGGGGCGCCCATGTCTTAGGAAAGCATCAACAGCCGTAACCAAGGAGTCACAAAAGGAAACTTAGGGTCGATGTACCATCTTAAAAAAAAAAGTCAAGAAAGGTCAACTTCACTTGATGGTTGAAATAAAAATAAATAAAACCTGTGCTCGCTTCGGCAGCACATATACTAAAAATAAATAAAACCATATCTCTGAGGGACCATCTCACCACCCTCATGTCATCAAAGATGCAAAGATGGCTCTGCAGGGAGTGAGCTGCCATGCAAAGCAGCCAGCAGTTGCCCGGTTGCTGGCGGAAGGATACGGGCACAAGTTTTTGGAAGAGCAGCGGGGCCACCAAATCATCACTACCAGCCTTAAAATATTTCTGCTGCGGCCAGCAGTGCGACGGCTGAGAATCCACCTGCAGCAAATCATTTTTCCCCTGCTGGGCAAGAACTTTTTTTAAATGCACGATGTGCAGACATTCATCGCCGTGTTGCTTTTAATAAGAAAAAGGCCGGAAACAGTGTAACTACCCAGCAGTAGGGGCTGGGCTTCAGACCTAAGGTGCATCCATGAGCGGTCAGGGGTGTGCCTTCTCCTGGGGGTCTGGGGCCAGGGCTCGCAATGCTGACCCGGCAGCCTCCCCGCCCCCGCCCCCACCGCAGTGCACTCCTACAAGTCCATGCAACCTGAGTCGGACCGCGTCATGGAGTTCTACAAGACAGTCCGTGTGGACGGCCTGATCAAGCGGGAGGAGACGCCCTGGACGATGACGGAACACTATCAAGGTCGGCCCGACTTCCTCTCCTACCGCCTTGTCAATTTTGGGCACAGGGTCAAGAAGATAACTCAGAACAGCACAGAATCAAATCCCCGGCCCATGCTGGTAAGCGCCTACTGGGCCCTGGGAACAGGGTGCCTCCCGGCTCCGGCAGTCTGGTTACCCGGGTTGGGGACAGCCGGACTCGGGAACAGCATCTTTCCCAAACGGCCTTTCCCATTGGTGCCCTCGGCCCCTGGGTCAGGGAGGTATTATTTCCTTACTGCTATAAAAAGGGTACACTCAAATTAAACATTAAGAATGTGTGGAAAAAATATAACTAAATGGAACATATAAAATATAGAGAGAAAGATGTAGAAAGAAAAAAGTAACAAGTATCTCAGAATGGCATCTCAGATATGACTGCAAAGTACTATATAGGTTTGATTTTGAGAGTGAAACGTGCACACAGATGGAATCCCTGCGTCACCCACTTAATACTAAACTGTGCATTTCTTCTTATCGTTGCAAATTATTTGACAACTGAGTTTTATGGCTGCATACCAAAAAAAAAATCTCTTTCTAGCATTAAGAGATATCTAGTGATAAAGAAGGCTGCCTGGAGAGGTAGCGAGCTCCCTGTTTCTGGAGGTGAGCAAGCAGAGCCTTGTGGGGGGAGCTAAAGAAGAAATCAGCACTGCCCAAGGGCTGGAGTGGCTTAGCACTGAGAACCACTGCCTGGCTAGGAGAGGCTGCTCCACACGAACCCCCAAATGAGTCTAGACCCCAGTGTCCCTGAGTGTCTTTTGCTCCCGCCCTTGGGGCCCACGCAGAGATTCTCTTTCCCACCGCCCATCCTATGCGTGTTCTGACCCCGCTCCCAGAAAATAACAGAGCGGTTCTTCCGCAATCCCGCGAAGCCTGCGGATGAGGATGTGGCCGAGCGCGTGTTTCTGATCCTGGAGGAGCGCATCCAGCTGCGCTACCACTGCCGTGAGAACCACATCACGGCCTCCAAGCGCGAGTTCCTGCGGCGCACTGAGGTGGACAGCAAGGGCAACAAGATCATCATGACGCCAGACATGTGTAGCAGCTTCGAGGTGGGCCATGGTGGGCGGGGCGGGTGAGGGAAGGAACGGGGCCCTGCGCCCCATGCAGCAGCGTGGGAGGGCTGCGGTGGAAACTCGGGGTTCCCAGCCTGCAAGTTCATCTCTGTCCCATGAGAAAGTCAAGAGCTCCCATCTGGAGACCCTTCTCTTTACAGCTCTTTTGAGAGCCCTCCTCTTTCCACCAAGAAAGTCAGCCCCACCCACGGGCGGAGAGGCTACTGAGCATGGGTCCTACCCCCGGAGCCCTGGGCAGAGCAGACCTCACATCCCCGGACCAACACTGGAGGACACGGTCCTGGCACCGCAGGGGGCTGGCTTTCCTAGTTCAAATCCTCACTCTTCCCGCATATCCTTTTAAGTCTCTAGTTCTCTTCTAGTATTATGTGTGTTTTTATAGATGAGGAAACTGAGGCCCAGAGAGGTTAAGCAACTTGTTTAGGGTCACATAGCTGACGGGGGGAGATTCAGCCCAAGAGGGCTGGTTCCAGAGTCTGTCCATGCCCGCAGCCACTGCTGCCTCTGTGTGTCTCTGTCGTTGCTGCTGCAGGTGGAGCCCACGGAGCACACCAAGAAGCTTCTCTACCAGTACGAGACCATGATGCAGCTGAAGAAAGAGGAGAAGTTATCCAGACATCAGGCCTGGGAGTCGGAGCTGGAGGTGGGGTCCCGTGGGAGAGTGGGCAGGCAGGAAGGTGGCAAGGGGGGGGTGTGTGCCTTACCTATGCCCTCCCCCACTTTCCAATTCAGGTGCTGGAGATCCTGAAGCTTCGAGAGGAAGAGGAGGAGGCGCACACACTGACCATCTCCATCTATGACACGAAGCGCAATGAGAAGAGCAAGGAGTACCGGGAGGCCAGGGTGGGGCTCGCTCCCTGACCCAGGCCCTGGCCTTGGCGGGAGAAGATGATTAGGGATTCTGTCGGGAAGGCCTTTAGAGGAGAGGAAGTTACTGACACCATCGTGGTCATCCTTGCCACTAAGCTCACCACTTCTACGTGACACCCCAGAGCGCACTCGGGAGCCAGATTGGGTCTCCCCCACCCTCAGGGGCTATGGCCAAGCCATGGCCTCTACTTCACTGGGAAAGGATGAAAGTCGTGCACCCACCTCCACCTGTGGCCACAGAAAGCCACCTCTGGCCACCAGCCCGAGTTCCCCATCCCCCGCAGCACAGGGCGTTCAGGTTACACCCTCGGGTTGCAAGGCCCACCCTGGTTTCAACACCAGCTTCTAAATCTCCTTCATCGACCAAGGAGAGATTTCTAAAAATAGTTTGAGGTTGGAGAAGCAGGACAGGGCATCCGATGACTGGTTCTCAGACTCCCAGGGGTGGGCATCGGCCCCCACATCGCCAGCGTCCCTGGCCCGTGTCCGCCAACACAACATAAGGCTCCAGGGTGAAGGAGGAAAAGGGAGAGACTGACTGGCCATTTTTGATTTAACATCATTCATAACAACCATATATCGCTATTTTTTAAAATTTTTTTTATTGATTATGCTGTTACAGTTGTTCTATTCCCCTTTCATTCCCCTCCACCCTACTCCCTCATCCCCACCATTACTCCCCCTTTAGTTTATGACCATGTGTCTCAAGACCTTTAGATTCTATATTTCCCATGTTATTCTTGCCCCCCCCCCATCTATTTTCTGTCTACTGTCTATGCTACTTATTTTCTGTACCTTCTCCCCCCTTCTCCTCCTCCCACTCCCCTGTTGCTAACCCACCTTGAGATCTTCATTTCTATGTTTCCACTGCTGATCTAGCTGTCCTTTTAGTTTGCTTTCGTTTTAGGTGTGGTTGTTAATAACTGTGAGTTTGTTGTCCTTTCACTGTTCATGTTTCTTTAACTTCTTTTTCTTAGATAAGTCCCTTTAACATTTCATAGAATAAGGGCTTGGTGATGATGAACTCCTTGAATTTGATCTTATCTGAGAAGCACCTTATCTGTCCTTCCATTTTAAATGAAAGTTTTGCTGGATAGAGCAATCTTGGTTGTAGGTCTTTGGATTTCATGACTTGGAATACCTCTTTCCAGCCCCTTCTTGCCTGTAAGATCTCTTTTGAGAAATCTGCTGACAGTCTGATGGGGACTCCTTTGTAGGTGACTGTCCCCTTATCTCTTGCTGCTTCTAGGATTCTCTCCTTCATTTTAATCTTGGCTAATATAATTATGATGTGCCTTGGTGTGTTCCTTCTTGGGTCCAACTTCTTTGGTACTCTCTGAGCTTCCTGGATTTCCTGGAAGTCTATTTCCTTTGCCAGATTGGAGAAATTCTTCTTTATTGTTTGTTCAAATAAGTTTTCCACTGGTGGCTGTGCCTTTCCCCCTTCTGGTACCCCTATAATTCGGATGTTGGAGCGTTTAAAATAGCATGGGAAATATAGAATCTAAAGGACTTGAGACACATGGTCACAAACTAAAGGGGGGGTAATGGTGGGGATGGGGGGGTAGGGTGGAGGGGAATGAAAGGGGGAATAGAACAACTGTAACAGCATAATCAATTAAAAAAAAAAAAGATGTCCTGGAGGTTCCTAAGACTCTCCTCATTTCTTTGAATTCTTGCTTCTTGACTCTTTTCTGTTTGGCCATTATTTGCTTTCTTCTGGTCCACTCTATTGATTTGAGTCCCAGTTTCCTTTTCATTGCTATTGGTGTCCTGTGCAATTCCATTCATTTCAATTAGTTTCACCTTCATATATTTGTCCAACCAGTTCTGTGAGGATCCTGATCATCAGTGTTTGAAACTGTGCGTCTGAGAGTTTTGCTATTTCTTCATCGCTTAGATCTATAGGTTCTGGGGCTTTGAGATCTTCTTGCGCCATTTTTGGTCTGTTCTGGCCCTTTAAGTGTGAGAAGTGAGCGGCGCCTTGGACTCCCAGGTCGCTGGGTTGTGATGCTGTATGTGGGGGCGTGGTCAGAGCGGGGAAATGGCGACCCCCTCTGCTGTTTCTCACAGCTGGGTGAGGATTAGCCTCTTAGGTGGTTCACCTGGGCCGGGCCACTCAGAGTCGCTGGGTTATGACGCTGTATGTGGAGGTGGGGTCAGAGCAGGGAAATGGCGGCGCCCTCCACTGCCGCTTGCCGCGGGGACCCGCCGGGCCCCGGTCCAACTGCCCACTCCCTCGCCTGTCCGCCCGCGCACAAATGCGCGACCACAGTCAACACGCAGCCCTGCTCCCCCGCTGTCTCCCCCGCGGTTGCTCGCCTGGTGGCTCGCTCTGTCGCTCACTAGGTCCAACCGTGCGCCTGGATTCCGCGCCTGAGTCCGTCTGGCCGAGTCCTCCTGTGCAACCCTGCTTCACCAGCTGCTGGTTTCGCCCCTTACTGGTCAGGCTGAAGAATTTGTTGTTAACGGACTTCCGAAAAGTTCAATTTTCCGTGTTCTGGCTGTGTTTTCTGTTGCTAATATTAAGTTGTCTCTAAACTTGGTTGTGTGAGAAGGCACGGCACATCCACCTATGCCTCCATCTTGGCAGAAGTCTCCATATATCGCCATTTACTGAGCAAGCACCTACTGAGCGTTAGGTGTGTGCAGAGGCTCAGGTAGAGACATCAATTCATGTAAGACGGAGTTGGCTGTTACCAATAACCACAGGCACGAGAGAGGCCCCCCTCCGAGACCAGAGGCACCAAACACAGGGATCTGGATTTGAGGCCCAGTTTTGTGAGGTCACGTGTTGATGCAGAGCTGGCCAGGAGGCCTCTGCAGCCCCTGCTGGTCCAGGTGACCACCACTCCCACCTCTACAGGAGCGTGTCATGCACGAGGAGCATTTGCAGCAGGTGGAGGCCCAGCTGGACTACCTGGCCCCATTCCTGGCACAGCTGCCCCCAGGAGAGAAGCTGACACGCTGGCAAGCCATTCACGTCAAGGAGGAGTGCCTCAGCGACTTCAAGCAGCGGCTCATTGACAAAGCCAACCTTATCCAGGCCCGTTTCGAGAAGGTACAGCCAGGGCTCAGGCAGAGGACCGTGGCATCCTCATCTTGAACATGGGCCCAGGGCTGGTTGCCTGCCCATCACGCCACAGACTTGTGAGGGACTAATTGCTTGGAGTTTCCAAATGACCAAGGTGTCCTTCCTTATTCTTGTTCATTGGGTGGAAGAGTGGATGAAGGGATGGGATGGATGGGTGAGTAGTGGATGAATGGATGGGTGGTGGACAGATAGGAGGATGGATGGATGGGTAGAGAGAGGCAATGGGTAAATGAATGAATGGATGGGTAGTTGAATAGATGAGTGGAAGGATGGATGGGATAAGGGATAGGTAGATGAATGAATGAATGGATGGTTGGATAAATGGATGGATGGATGGATGGTGGATTGTTACAACTCCTAGTCCTTGACGCATTTCTGTTGGTCGGAAGTACACCATGCAGTTCCCATGGTGGTGTGGTGGTCGTGGGTATGTACAATGACCTTCATTTGGCAGACAAAAAATTTGAAGCTCTGAAAATGTCATTTGTTCAGAGCCACATGGCTATCTCAGCCTTGAACCCTGCTCTGATCTCATGGACATTATATCCCTCTAAATACAACCCCAGTGGCTCCCACTGAAGACATTTTTTGGCTATGCCTCTCTTCCTTTGGCTTCTGTGGGTGAGGGTAGCAGAGGCAACCTTCATTGGCTGTCTAGAGACCAGGGGGCCTCAGCGTACAGCCTGAGTGAGGGTCAGTGCTCAGCAAACCTCCTGCTCACTCCTCCCCACGCTGGCAGGAGACCCAGGAGCTGCAGAAGAAGCAGCAGTGGTACCAGGAGAACCAGGTGACCTTGACAGCCGAGGACGAAGACTTGTACTTGAGTTACTGCTCTCAGGCTATGTTCCGCATCCGCATCCTGGAACAGCGGCTCAATCGGTAAGGGGCTGGGGAGCCCAAGAGGACCGAGCAGGAGGTGGGAGCACCAACTTTGTCACCCCTCACCATCTCTCACTCCCTCTGATTTCAGACACAAGGAGTTGGCCCCCCTGAAGTACATGGCTCTGGAGGAGAAGCTCTGCAAGGACCCACGCCTGGCAGAGCTCCTGAAAACCTTTGTCTGATGCCCAGCCTGGGCCTCAGCCTAAGCTGCCAGAGAAAGAGAACCCCCTGCAGCCTGCTCCCTGTGTTTCAGGAGCCTGGCCTCACTGCCACGCCACCCCTGCATTCCTGCTTCTCATAATTTTCCCATAAATAAACATATTTTGATTTGTGATTTATACCTGTTTTCTGAGCTCCAGCAGCAGCCTTTCTCTCCTTCCCTTCTTTATCTGTAGCCTAGGACCACCCTGCTCCATGCACTTTGACCACCTTCCTCATCAACTTCCTGTCCCTCCCCCCACTGCATCAGCTCTGCTCTGCGGATAGTCTCAAGAATTATCCAGCCTAAAACGTCAATAATACTGAGGTGGAGAAACCTGCGCAGGCTCAATGGAAACATAACCACGTAGGGTATTTCTCAAAAACAGTATCAAAGCTTCCCGATACAAAAAAGTATGTACTGCGTGATCCCATTTCTACAATGAACAACAAAAGGCAAAATTCATCAGTGGTCTTAGAAGTTAGGATAGTGGCCACTCCTGGGGACAAGGGTTAGTGAACAGAAGGGGGCACCAAGGGGACTTCTGGGGTGTTGGAAATACCCTTCTTGACCAGAATATGTTCAGATAGTGAAAATTCATCCATCTCGAATGCTTGCGGTATATGGGGTTGTATATTACATATACTTTAGTGTAAAATATTTCAAAATGGTGACCATGAATCTAATTAAGCTTTAACTTCCGTTTAACAAGAAATTCAGGGGAAAGGAATAAGGTAAATGACACTATGAGGAAAAGGTCAGAGAAAAGTATAATGTGGGACCACCTACAAGGTAAATGGCCCAATCTCTTTAAAAGATCAATATCATTAAAAAAAAACACTGGAGGAGCCAAAATAGATTGATCTTAAAAGAGCCAAGTGTGCTGAGTCTTGATTGTTTCCTACTTAGAAAAAAAAATTATTAAAAGTATTTTGGGGGACGATTATGAAAATCTGGACTGGAAAAAAGTTGCTGGTTTTCTTGGGTGTGCTGATAAAATGCTTATGTAGCACAGGGGATGGACTTTTAAGAGTTACATGCTCAACAGTACTTAGTGCCAGGGTGAAATGTCTTGATATCTACAGCTCTCAAATGGTTCGGAAAACACACAGGAATATAGCAAAAAGTTAGCAAGAGTTGAAATCCACATGGTAACTTTCTTGGTCACCATATTAATGAAGTATTATACATCATTATAGTATTCTTTCAAGTGTCCTCTATGAAGTTTTCTTTTTTATATATATACTTTATTTATTTATTTTCAGAGAGAGGGGAAGGGAAGGAGAGAGGGAGAGAAATATCGAGGTGTGGTTGCCTCATGTCTCCCCCACTGGGAACTGGCCTGCAACCTAGGCGTGTGCCCTGACTGGGAATCGAACCACAATCCTTTGCTTCACAGGCGCGCTCAATCCACTGAGCTACACCAGCCAGGGCTGAAGTTTTCATATAAAGGATGAGAATATAGCGTGGACAGTTTTCATCGGATTTTATGCTGCTAATCTATGCCTCTTTTGGTAGTGCCCATGTGCCTCTTCGGACAGCTTCCAAAGTACAACGTGATGAGTGGACACTCTACCTCTCTCCAGCAGACGCTGCAGTACACTGGAGAATAAGCCCATCCCACCCACGAATCATAAATAAAGCCTGCGTTTCTTGAATTCCTAGTCGGCGATCCCCGTACAGCAGCGTCCCACTCCTCCATCCACTGAGACGTCAGCCGTGGGGTCGGGCCTCCCCAGCTCCAAGTCTGACCTGGACCCGGAATCAGTCTCTGATCCCCTCTAGGGAATTCAAGCCGGTGTTCCAACCAAAGAAAAGGGAAAGGCTTACAGACCACCTACGGAACCGCCCTCAGGTAAAGGGAAGAAGCAGGAAACAAGGCAAAATGCTGGGTACTCCTCCCCACTTTGCCCCACTCCAAGATGGAACTTTCCTGGCTTCACTCTGCTCCCAATGTTCCCTTCCCATTGGCTACTTGGGAATTGGTGCTTCAATAATCAGAACACTGATTGGTCTATCTGGGATGGTTGCTAAAGCGATTGGTGCAGCCGCTATTGGAGGTTGCCTCGCAAATTTTTTAAATGCAAACTAGGTTCGAGGAAGAGAAGGCAAGACGGAGGAAGGGGAAAGTTTGAGGCGGAGGCGGGCCCAAGGAGAGGCAGCTCGCATTGGTTCATTAGAGGCCGAGGGGCGGCTCTCGAGTGCTCCTTCCCTGTGATTAGCCCAATTCGGGAAAAGAAGGAGGGTACTTAAGGAAAGCGGCAGAGGTGCCTGCTTTGATTGGTCAAACCTGGCGGCCGGAGGGGCGCTCGCGGAGACGGATTGGTGCGGCAAGCGAGGAGGGCGGGGCCCTGAGTCGGAGGTTTTGTTGTGAGGGTCGGTTGTCAAGCAGCGGCCAATCAGGGCAGGGGATGGAAGCAAGTGGGGGTCGCCGGAATACAGCCTCGGCCTCAGGAGCCGCAGCTGCAGGTGGAGTGGGCTACGGGGAGAGGAGGCGAGGGGACGTACGGTGGGCCCTGCACCGGGCCGAGCCAGGTGGGGCCAGGCCGCGCTGCGGTGGAGAGGGCTCTGGGCACGGGGAGGCTGGAACCCGTCCCCGCAAGCTGAGAGGAGTGGGAGTATCAGCGGAGGCCAAGGGACCAGCCTTAGCTCGGGTGGGGCGGGACCGGCGTGGAGGCCTGAGGGCCAAACGGGGGAGGCCGGAAGCAGAGCTAGGGGTCTGCGGGATGATGGGTGATGAATAGGGACGCTGGAAGCACGAGAGTGAATGAATGGGGATACTGGTAGCAGAGGGGAAAGGGCAGTAAAGGGGTCTGGCGAGACAGGGACCACATTTGGGAGCTCAGGAGACAACATGTATGTGAATGGGAGACTAGAGAGGCAGGACTGGGGAACTTAGGAGAAAGGGGATGGAGAGGAGAGGTTTCATGGGGAAAAAAAAGGCGTGGAGGAAGGGAGAGGAGGCACCGTAGGTGGCCTTTTAAAGTTGAGGAGTCATACCGACTCATGCCCAGCTGGGACTTGTTCCCAGCGCTGTCCTTGGGAATTTCAAGAGACCAGGAGTAGTTCCCTTGCCACAGACTGGGTGGTGGAGATTGGGGTGATAAATCCTCGGGGCCCTGTTTGACATTCTCCCCAGAGAAGACTTCAGTACCTGTCCCTGGGGTGCCTCTTCTGGGCCCTTAAGCTTAGCCTTGACTCCACCCCCTTCCTATAGGTCAGACAAAACAGTGACTCCCAGAAATCTATCAAACCTGCAGCCATGTGCTCTTCCTCGCCCCACTGCGGCTGCTGCACCTTCCGCACCTGCCTCCTGGAGCAGTGCCTCCTCCCATCATCCTGGCCTCTGGGAGGACCTTCTTTTTCCCTGTGCTCCCAGTGGCCCTGCCTGAGGTGCCCCCTCTCCTGATTCTCAAATTTTATTTGTAGTGCAGCTCCTGGCCCTGATGGCTTTGGTGGGTGTCTGTGTTTACCAAGTGGCCTATCAAGCTGTAGCCGCAGTCTGCAAATCAGCCCCCCGCCCCCACTGAGCTTCCCACCCAGTGTTTCCTAACAAGCTGTCCCCTCTGTTTGCGTTCCAGCCTGCTGTTGAGCTGAGATGGCTCAGCTTGACATTCCATGATCCAGGATCCCGCCAGGTGTGCTCAGGCCGCTGTGGATGATTTAAAACTAAGAGTCAGTCCAGAGCCAGGAGAAAGGCATTCCCTCTGCCTGGATGTGCGGGAACTCCCTGCCAACTTGATTGGCAGATCTGGGGGGGTCCACCCCCACCCCTCAAGGAAGACAGTCTTTTGTGGCTGGAGCTTCAGGTGCCAGACAACTGAAGGATGGCCACCCCTGTGGTCACCAAGATGGCCTGGAAGTTGCGTGAGTGGATTTCTTCTCTTGTTTTATACCCCATTTACCCTGTTAGCTGTTTTTTCCTGGGGTGTCCTGAACCCCCAGCTTTGTTGTGTGTTCTTGATCCAAGGGGAGACTCCCAGGCCTTGGAGTAAGACAGACCAAATGCAAATCATGACTTTGGCACTTAGCTGGGTGGCGTCGGCCAGGCGACTAGCCCTCTCGGAGGCTGAGTTTCCTGTCTGTACAAACAGATAATCACACCTACGTTCTGGAGTTGCTGCGAGATTCAAGTGAGAAAATGGACGTAATAAAGCAGTTAGTGCAGGAGCTCCAGTCAGGCTGACGGACGGGCGGGATAGGGCGAGAAATTCCAAAAATCTTTTCTGGCATTTTCAGACATCCCAAAGTCAAACTTCCCCCATCAGGTGAGGGCATCTTGGGGCGGGGCCAGGAGAGAGGACAGGCAAGAGGGATGTTGGCATGACTGTGGCACGTAACTGAGTGTGGGCACGACCCACCCCCATCATTACGTAGCAGTTCCGAACTCTTTGATTGGAGGACTTCTTTATCCTCTAAAGAATTACTGAGGGCCCCAGAGAGGGTTTGTTTATGGGGGTTGTATCTACCATTATTTGCCATGTTAGCAATACTGGGACATTTTCTTTTTTTTTTTAATTTTTTTTAAAATTTTTTTAATTTTTTTTAATTGATTATGCTGTTACAGTTGTTCTATTCCCCCTTTATTCCCCTCCACCCTACCCCCCATCCCCACCATCACCCCCCCTTTAGTTTATGACCATGTGTCTCAAGACCTTTAGATTCTATATTTCCCATGTTATTCTTGCCCCCCCATCTATTTTCTATCTACTGTCTATGCTACTTATTTTCTGTACCTTCTCCCCCCTTCTCCTCCTCCCACTCCCCTGTTGCTAACCCTCCTTGAGATCTTCATTTCTATGTTTCCACTGCTGATCTAGCTGTCCTTTTAGTTTGCTTTCGTTTTAGGTGTGGTTGTTAATAACTGTGAGTTTGTTGTCCTTTCACTGTTCATGTTTCTTTAACTTCTTTTTCTTAGATAAGTCCCTTTAACATTTCGTATAATAAGGGCTTGGTGATGATGAACTCCTTGAATTTGATCTTATCTGAGAAGCACCTTATCTGTCCTTCCATTTTAAATGAAAGTTTTGCTGGATAGAGCAATCTTGGTTGTAGGTCTTTGGATTTCATGACTTGGAATACCTCTTTCCAGCC